TCTGCCAGTCATCCACGCCCAATGGTTCCGAAGATTTGCCGACGCAGCGTCTTCAATAAATAAATGTCTTATTCCCGCGTCAAAAAAAGATTTTAACATGAGAGAAGCCAGTTTACAGGCCTCATCACGTTGATACATCTCAAAATATCTACAAGACTTGAGCTCTGAGTGGTACTGACGGAATGTCATTAAACTCCTGCTAGTTATGAAATGAACATGGAAGTATCACTTTACAGCGTACATAGAGTGTTAAACTTTAGATAATAGTAAATATTGTCTTCATTTAACAAGTTTAACATGAGGGATACCAGTTTACAAGTACCGTCAAATTCATAACTTTTGAAAGTGTCTGGTATTAAATACTTTACATACCAAGTCATTAGTGTGCATAATCTTATTAAAATTTACTGAAATTCATGAAATGGATGTGGATTCCCATCTCCCATCACACAGATATGTTCCATTATCAATATCAAAAGCGCGCAGTGTTCGAAGTTTGCGTTTCAACCAACCGGCGTTGTTAGTCGATTCGCATAGATTGCTGATTAGTAATACAGCAGTTTATTACTTAGAATGGTCTTCAGTTTTAAGTTTGCCAACCACAAAGGACCCATTTATACAATTTGGAGTATCAATAAAGTATCCACAGTTATATAACCAACATGTATGGCTATATCAATGCATATCCAGGACACCATGTTACGTCTAAAGGTAACATAGATTAATTCTTCTGGGAATACTTGTAGTATTGGATGAAAATGGATATTGAAACAGTCAATAGTCCACTGACTTCGGGTATCTTTTGTGTTGGCGTAGGCGTCATCACTCGAGAAGTGTATTTGATGCATAGTAAGTTTCATATGAAAAGGTCTCTTGGTACAGAGTACTAGAAAATGTGTAGTGTGGAGCCACTGCAGGCAAGCGACATCCTGCGCCAATATGTAAATTGGTCTCTGGTTTACTCATCTGTTCGGAATGTCTGTGCTACTAATACTGTTGGGAATGGTCAGACGGTTCGTCGCAAGAAAAATCATGACGAGTGGGTGAGTTAATCTTGAAGATGGTCCAGAATTTGCGAAAGGGTGGGAGCAATCCGATAATTATTGGCGTCAATGAGCAGGCGTTATTCCCATAAAGTAATCGCGTTCAGACAATTTGAACATCAAATGTCGACTTGCAGCTGTTTCTGCAAAATGGGGAAAGAAAGAAGAGGCACCAGCAGATATGGAACTAGAGATTACTACGCTATCAAATTTGGAGAAGAGAGAAGTCCCAATAATTTTTGATATATTCGGACCTAACATACATTTTCATGTACATATGTGAAGTCAACTACATAGTCCTTCCATCATAGGATTATTCAGTTGTTTTTTTGAGGTGGAAGGGGGGGGACCGTAGTGGCTTTCAGAGATAAGCAGTAAGCAGGTACTACACGAGCGACCTTTCAAGAAACCATGCTGCATAGAGGAAAGTAGCTGATGCGCAGCCACGCAATCTTTGATTTCTTGCACAACCACCTTCTCCATGATACGACAGACTACAGATATAATACTTATGGGACGATAATTTTGAATTTCTGACAGGCCCAGATTTATACGTGGGAGATGTGTATGACAGCTTCCAGCGATCAGGGTAGCCTGCCTCAGTAAAGGATATCGAGAATAGCTTCATGAAGATCAATGGTGTGTCTTCACCACCCGTCTTAAGGAGAACAGACAGATCCCATCGGGTCCGGCAGAATATGAGTCTTTTAGTGAAGTAACTGCATCATCTATCCTTCTCTGTGTAAAGGAAACATTACTTATTGAGTGGTGTGGTGGAATGGGCATTTGTATGTTTGGTACACTATCTTCGTGCGTGAAGCAGCTTGCATAATGTTTACTAAACGGCTGACAGATCTTACTTGGGTCATCGCAAAGAATGTCCCCATCAGTGATCAGACTGCTGGGAATAACTCTAGATAAGTTTGCACGGGATTTTAGAATTCTCACCAATGATCGAACATTGCCTGTTTGTGCGTTGCAGCTAGTTTCTTGCTTGACCGCTTTCATTAACTTATTTGATTTGAAGTTCTTATGAGCAATTTTTAATGAGACAAGGGATGAAAAGTCATTAGATCGATGGAAATTTCTGGCATGTCTGCGTATGCTGATAAGTACATTTTCAGGGATAGAATTCACTTTCGGCTTTCTAATCAATACTGATACCTCCGGAACATTATGATCGTGAATTACATTCATGGGACTGTAGAAGATGTCACTTAGTTCATGGGTTGAGCTATTGGTGAAATAAGAACCCTAGTCCAAGCATCGCAACATGTCTTGTGTCTCTTCTCAGATGGTATTTTTATATCCTCTAACCGTGGTGGTTTTTGACCTGGAAGCTAACGTAGTTCTGGGAGATAGTCGGAAGTCATGTTGCACAAACTCTCTCATCCAGGTGTACGAGCCACCATTAGGCTCATCGCACAACGTTTCTGCTGGCCTGGGATGAACAAAGGCGTTAAGGAGTGAGCTCGGTCATGCTTAGCTTGTCAAAATTGCAAAGTCGCGCGACACATGAAAGACCCTTTAGGTTCTTTTCTAGTCCCAGACGTGCGTTTCGACCACGTCCGTATGGATATTGTAGGACCCCTGCCAGAATCTAATCAATGCGCCTACCTTTTCACTTGTATTGACCATTTCACGTGATGGCCGGAAGCAGTACCTATTGAGGATATTACTGCTGAAACAGTAGCTCACGTTTTCGTAGAAAGATGGATCGCGAACTTCGGATGTCCGTCTTACGTCACAACCGACCATGGGCGCCAATTTGAGTGTGGATTATCTCACGCTCTAACGGCACTTTTAGGTTGCCCCGGCTCCAAGCGACAGCCTACCATCCACAAGCAAGTGGTATGGAAGAGCATTTCCATCGACAGTTGAAAGCCTCCCCTTCAGCTGCAAACATACCTCAATGGACCGAGGCTCTGCCTCTAGTCCTGCTAGGTATTCGTAACGTCTTGAAAGTGGATGCTGGATGTACCCCTGCAGAACTCGTCTATGAGACCACTGTTCCCCTACCAGGTGAGTTTGTTTCTCCTTCAACTTTCAAACACGTTTCCGACAGGTCATCTTACGTGACTAGGCTTACAAAGGCAATGCCTTCAGCTAAGCCTTCTCCGGTTAGACCTCAAACGACTGATGTCTTCGTTCACCCCAGTTTTTACAAGAGACATTGTACGTGTTTGTTCGCCACGACGCCGTTCGTCGACCACTTGAACCACCCTACTACGGGCCATTCAAAGTGATCAAGCGACACAAGAAATTCTCCGTAGTTGAGCAAGACGGATGTGGAGACACTGTCAGTATTGACCGTTCGAAACCAGCTTATTTCGAGAGCAACCCCATTATCAGTGACATTTCAGCTCGCTACAGCCGACCGACAGATAGCTTAATTATCGAAATTCTTGACGATATCCCTGGTGACGCACAGTTGCAACAACCGCTGGCGCAACAGAAAACACGATCAGGTCGAACCGTCAGGCTCCCGAGGTATTTGAAGTCGTATTCAACTTAGTGGTGTGAAATAAGATGTGCCAACCATATTTTTTTACTTACAAATATTTTACGAGGCACCATTTTTCTTATTTACCCGCAGTGCGCAAATCCTTGTGCATTTTGCCTATGTCAATTTTTTATTGCCATGTAATTTAACTTTTTTTTAAAAACGGTGAAAATAAGCGCAAACTTTGGTTTCGATATATTTGTATGTACATAATTCCCATTTTTACGAAGCCTTTTCAGGGTATTAAAGACTTTTATTTATATTCCAGGTGCAGCGAGCACCTGACGGAACGTCAAAAGGAACTGAGGACTGCAATCGACGTACAATTCGATTCATTGTATTCCATTTTTTTATTGCCACGACACCCTAGAATAAGTTCAGGCAACCAGGGGCCACTTCACGCAGTGAGCCCATCAGAAGAGTTTTACCAGTGGAGAAAATACTGGGTTTTTACTTCCGGCTGGTATCGTCTTAGGGTCCTCACGAACCCGCTGGGGGTGGAGTGATCTGTAGCGTCACACACTTCCCCAAAATCAATAGCCTAGGGTTTGACGACTTTCGACACTGACGCTGACCTTCGTAGTTTAACCAGACTCGCTAAGCTGAAGGCACACGGTCAAGCATCCTCGCCATTTGACACGCTGTCGTGTTACGTTGTTCTGCTCGTATTCGACTCTCTGGCCAGTTAGTTGGAACGCATCGGCATCTTGGCGCAACCACCCAAATACACTATTCTCTCCGACTAGGCTATCGTGTTCTTCCTCGATCTCGTATTCGTGGGTATATAACAAGTCCGAGTAATCAGTGATTGGTCTTTGCGTCTGTCAAGTTCGCAGCAGGGCAAATCCTAAACCCGCATTGCCTTCATTTACATGGAGTTTTCCATATGACCCTCAGTCCTCCCAGAAGCTTGGTGGTATCTTAGCATACTCAGTCTAACGACTACTAACAGAAATCCCCGTGAACTTGCACATCTTCAAGATGTGGATACAGTAAAATGGAGAGGGTTTCTGCATCCGACAAAGGAGTAACACCAGACGAAAAGAATCCAGCTTCAGAGCCAAGACGGGACAGTTTGCTATACCCGCTTAAAAGAAATCCGATATTGGTAGCACGACAACGTGCCGAATTAAAGGGGTGTTTTGCTGTGTGCCCTAGGTTAAGGAATTCCGTTAAAACGGTTCAGGCTAGCATCAGTGCCGTGTTTCTTCAAGCCTTTAGGCCAAAGACTTTGTGGAACCACTTATGTTACGAAATCAAATGGTTTGCAACGGTGTGTCGAACAGGTAGTGAAAATTATAGACCAACAGTTCCATCAACCATATGCACAGATGTTCGTTACCCATGGACGTCTCAGAAGATCAAAGGACTATTGCAGTCGTGCGATGGGGAGCCACAAAATCAAAAGCTTAAAATTTGCCACAGACTTCACATATTACAAAAGTACACGAACGATGCATATGTCGAATCAAATATACAAAACGTATCTCCAAGAAGAACAAGTATCTGTATCACAGAAAAGTGTTGGTGAAATTATGAAAGAGAGGGCAACATGTCAGTTCATGTATGTTGACTTCAACCTCCAGGATTGTGAATTCACCGATCTCAGTCTTCGAAGACACCGGACAGCAATGACTCATGACAACAGTGATCTTTCTATTCAGACCTTCCATGAACAAATTGTAATGTGGCCAAAGCAATGAGCACGATCAAAAATTCTTCGCCGAGTATGGGTAACTGAACATTTTCAGGTCTATAAAGAGGCCGTTTCCGTTCCTTCGCCTGCACAATAAGGATACGCTGGTTCCCAGTTCAGTTTAAACTGAATTCCACGAAATTCGATAGCTCTCACGCATTTTAGCAGATACTTATGTCTCCCAACGCAATGAAAAGATTTCAACTCTACAGGAATTTGGTACACTCAGAAAGATAGGTATTGCTATAATTTAGAAATCATCCTCACGACAATCTAGGAGATGAGGTGCAGGTGACGACCATTCAGCCATGATTCTCTCAAACACCACGTTGCAGTTTCTAAAAGCGTTCAAAATGGCTTCCATAAATTAACATCAACCTCATGTGTGCACACGCCAAGCCACTGCCTACTTCGACGTGCCATGCTAGGGGAAGTTCGACGAGGGTTCAGAGTGCTCATCCCAAGACGTGGTGCCAGTTTATTAAGTTCCTGACTGTTGCAGTTTCTAAAAGCGTTCAAAATGGCTTCCATAAATTAACATCAACCTCATGTGTGCATATAGGAAGTATAAAACGCAATTAAAAGGGGTGCATTTACGATAAAACTGTTTTTCACGAAGCAATGGATCACTCACCACCCTACAACGTCTGAGACATAGCCGTTAAAAGTAGAAGACATGAATCGGTTACAGGTTTTTACCACAGATAGCACCGCTTGTGCTCGTTGGAATCATTGTGTGAGCAATGTTCAGGTTCACGCATGAAGTTATGCACCTTCACCGGCTGAGATGGCTTGGAAATACACTGCGCACGCCAAGCCACTGCCTACTTCGACGTGCCATGCTAGGGGAAGTTCGACGAGGGTTCAGAGTGCTCATCCCAAGACGTGGTGCCAGTTTATTAAGTTCCTGACTGTTTGTCTGAGCCGTGTGCGGGGGATGTAAACTGCCTGGTTGGGATAACTGGAACGATAAGCATCAGTTGTTGGGATCTCTTGTTGATATGTCTGAAAATTGGTCACAATGGTGCAGATGTATTTAATCCTTGACATCTTATAAAGCTTGAATATTTGTGCTAGCATTCATTCTCAAATTGTTTATTCACTCAACTTTTTCTACTTTGATATCAGTATTTTTCTATCCACCTGTTCGTTGTGTACTACTGTGGAGTGTGGTAACTTAAGCCAATACACTTGTATGCGGGTTATACGTTGTTTTGTCTGCCTGTCTACAATTAAAAAATAAAATTCACTTCAGAGCCCCTGAAAAAGGTATCGGGAAAGTTAAACTATGAGTTACTGCACATTATGTAGAAACCTCTAGGATGAAGTATCTTATGTACAACGAAGCAGTCACTGGCAATTATGCAGATGTGGCCAACAATACAGAACAGTACCATGTTACAACAATACAAGGGGCAATATAAGTCGCGATACTGCCATACATCAAGAAACATGGGAAGTCCCAAAATGAACTGTTTATCATCAGGACTACTACAGCTTTACTTGTGCTGCTCCCCTAACGAATGCTTTGCACCACAACAAATGCATGTAAAATAAATTTGTCGCTTACAGGGTTTTCTATCCAAACGGCTGCAACACACTCATCTACTGCCTCATACGTAACAGGAACATCTTCTATGGTACGCAGTTTCGCAGGAATAGAAACACTGGAGTACTTTGCGTCCCAAATTTGCCTCAGGTAACGGACAGCTAACGAGCTGGAGTTTTTTTCATGATCTCCATAAAGTCCAAAACCAGTAACAATGATGTACATTTATAACTGAAACCTGTGTTATAGAAAAAGTTACAATTTTGAGTCAACTATTTGGATCTTGATAATCAATCGATTTACTCATAATCTCTTAATATTGGTCCAGAGAAATGACGGTTGTGATTTGGCCAAAATCCTACCCGTCGCACGCGTCATGGATATCGTGGCTCGGCGGTGCAGGTGATCGTTATCTCCTAAAGCACCGGGGTGACACCCTAGCGTAGGAAGCCATCACCTCGCGGTTCAAATCCCGGCGAGAACTACCTCACCCACTGGTAGACAGGCGCACCCAGCTGATGAGTCCTAAATGGAGCGAAATGTGAATCCTGAATTCCACCGCCAGCAGTGTTCATCCTTACTATAATTAGAACGCAAGTAGCATCAAGGCATTCACACGGCAGCCCATATGCCGATAGATATCGATGAATTCGGTCCGGCCAACGACGGTACAACTCAAATGATCATACTTAATGAAGTAAATTTTAACAATTCACGTTATGCTTCTGGCTTTTATAATTTATTCAACGTGGTATCTTGTTTTCGAGTGCCGGAAATATGCAGTCGACTTGCATAAACAAGACCCGTTACTGTCAGAAAAAAGTTGTTGTGGAATGAAAATGGAATTGCACTGATGTGACTGCGGGTAGATTGAACAGCACTTACTTCTGCTGCTGCTCAGTCCACTTCATAGGTTTTCGTGCTACGTGTACTAGATATGATACTCATGAACATCCGAAGACAGGTAAAAACGTCATCGACTTTCTGCAGCCCAAATAGAACACACGTTACGGTGTGACCACAGCTGCAACCACCGGTGATAACCACCTGGAGTCTTGAAACTCCTACGGGGTAAACGACAGTTTCACATACACAACTTTGTTGGTTATAATGGTTTTTAAAGGCAATGTTACGGAACAACAGCTTTCTATTACGCCACTTCCAGCCGGGGCAGGAAAAATTTTATTCTTTATTCTCATAATGTATCCGAACCCATGTCTTCATTCTGATTCTACGTAAAACATCACTGATTTCACTTATATCCCAAAACTGATGACCTCATGCGCACGTAGTTTCAATGATGTAGCTTGGATCTTAGCCTGACAACGTCTTTATCGAGTCAATTCGTAAACTTCATGAACGCACGGCAGAGAATCTCGGGTATTGGTATGCAACCTTTGTGGGTGGCTTCACGTACAACTGCTGAGGTACGCAGCTGCTGTTTTTACGGATCTTCAGCGATATATACTCCTTTACAAAGCGATGACCATGCATGGCCTTGGTGAAAGCCAACTCTGCGCAATTTCGCACGCATGAACTTTAGTTCTGACAAAAGGTGTTCTGCGATGTTTAAAATGCGTTGAGGTTTGGCGACACCCTTCTCATACAGACTTTCAAGATGCCTCAGTGCTTTTTATTTTCAAGGGTAAATACGTCAGCATTCTTCATGTCAACTGTAGTGACACACATGAGATAGCTGCGGACAACACCAAGGGTCTTCGGATAACGGTCATCTATGTAGGTATACCCGGTGAACCAACACCCCAAAATTTGGTCACCCGTATCCACTCTGGCTTTGTATACGAAGTATTTGGCATGCGTATAACGCTTAAAACGTGAATTCAAACGAATCTCGCCCGATGTACAGGGTCTACGCGTGATTTGAAGTTTACCGAACCAGTGAATCTCTGGGATTACACCGCATCTGCATACGTACGTCTAACGTCAACCGAAACAGCTGAACCAGCTTTTCCAGTCATTGTCAGTAGAAAACCATCAGGTCTCGTATTCAGGGATGAAAATTAGTTGGGACACTAAGTCGTGACAAGAGTACACAGGGATCCGTATGTGAACTTGCAACCTAAAACCAGGTTCCCGAGTCTTGTCCGGTGACACACCAGTAGCCCACAGGTACAAGGTCACCTCCATAACTAGGGTTGCTCCCCCATGTGTCCCATCTTGGAGCATGTACGTTCGAGGAGAATGGACCGAACTGTCTGACGACGTAGAGAGTGCTGCTTGAATATATGCATGCCGGGCTTGGTTGACCTTTCAGGTCAGTGCTTTCAAAAATTATCCGCTAGCAAGCGCATGAAACCAGTCATAATCAGGCATTCGAGGGACATCGTGGTTACTGGAGAGGCGGGCATTTCATTCCAAGTCCACGAATCTGTTTTACATAAGAAATACATTTATCCCGACTCTCACCATATCATCACCTTTGTGACCATGCTATTGTCTGCACCACCACCCATCTGTATGATTTCCAATTTAGACCCGTCATCGGAGGATGGAACGTCGCGGGCTGAAGTTAGCCGTTTTCCAGTAAACCTCTGTGGGTTTTCGACCCTCTTTTGAATCGGTCAACTGATAACGTGGACATTATCTATTTTTGGAGTCGGCTGCTGGAATGGACTACTCAACGCTGGAACCATTGCGGTATAGAGACTACGTTAATCCTTCGCTTTTGCATTGTTCTCCTATGTGCCTTGAGGTGTCCTGGCCTAGTGGGAAGGATGAGAGAAGATAGAACACGTCCAGTCATTTCTTGAAACGCTGTATAGCTTTGCTAGACTTCCCTACCTTTTAAGGTAGAATGAATCGAAGAGGTTCGTCCGCCTGAGTCGTCCTCCGTAGGTTAGGCTAACTATCGCAGAGATCATACTAGTGACTTCCCCCCTGAACTCTTTTCAGAATTTCTGAATCACCCTTTACGTAAGAATTTGCCGCTTGCCCGCAGTTTTTTAGCTCAGACCTAGGTTAAGATGTGCGTAATGTGTCATACATACCAGCGCATGTTTTTATAGACTTTCAGTACGAGGCCCAAAGTGTTCCCAAACTCCACGCTTTGAACAACCGAGGGAGCATGGTGGTCTTCAAGTCATTGCTTACAGTGAATCCTAGGTAATTTTCGGTCAAAACTGAGTGAAGAGGGCCTCGACTACTATCGTAGGGGCTGTCACCTGTGTCCCATATCCATGTCCATCCATTTGCCTGCATTGATAAGCGTCAGCCATCCTTTAATCTCTCTATTTCGTAGTGATACCTTCGGCTTCAGACTAATTTTCTTTACTGACGTGCACACCCTCATCTTCCACCTAAGCCCACCCCTAAACAGTTGGTTTTAGATACTTCTTCAAGTGAGTTTTGCAGTCAGTACAAAGAACTCACCCGGATGTACCGTGGTTGATTTGCTCCTGCTTATTTTTGTGCTCCTGCTTCGAATTTCGCCTGCTGCTCGCCTTAGTTATTCCCTTTTCAGGCTTATCTAACCAGTCCTGCATTCAGCTGGAATCCCAGAGATCGCATTTGTCAGTGTGCGCCACGCCATCAAAACCTTATGACGGACGCAAACACCCCGAAGTCATGACTGTACTGCCTGCCCCACCTTCAAGAATATTGGAAGATTCAAACAATAACCGAATAATTCCTAATTTCGAACTGAGCCTGCTTAAACACACCTCTTGCATGCCATGAATAACGATATTGAATGTATAGCTTAACATTGTACATAATAGTCATTTCTCATGACCAAAGTGATCAAACCTGTAAACCGGTTTGTATCCACGTAACCCGTTGTATGAAATATATATATATATATATATATATATATATATATATATATATATAATTTCCACGAAATAGTAGACAAGCCGTTTGCGTCTGTTTGAAGTGCACGTATATTCTCCCCATATTTAATTTCCCGTCGGAACCTTACATCATCGACTCAGCGAAAAGCAGGGGATTCTGCAGCCCATTTGCATTAAGAAATAGCGAGCAACCAGGGGCTCCACCTTGCGGTACGCTACCTTGCGCCGACGCCCACGAGTATAGTTGAGAATTGATCCTTACTGTTTGTGTCCTAACAATGAGGAACCCTCTGATTCATGCGAACGGAATATTAGTGATTCCGAAACTTTCCGGTTTCCCGAGCAACTTGGAATGAAGTACATTGTAGAACGTCCCACTTCGGCCCATATAGATGACATCGACATTACACTGAGAACTCTTTCAACTTGCTCTGACTGTTAGAAGAGAAATTATTCTGAAAGCCTTACTGTTAGCGAGACAGCAGAGTTTCGCTCTTTAGGCGAACTGCAGTGGTTTTCTTGATTGCTCCTCCCGGGATTTCGGCCACAAGAATGGTCAAGTTCATTGGTCTGTGATTTAATGAGCAGTTTCTTTGACCAGTCTTGTAAGTGTAACAACGGCTCCCTTCCACCAGTACAGGAGTGCGCCTTCACCAAGGACCGGTTAAAATATGAAGTGCTAGTTCTCTGAGCTGTCTTGGTTACATTTCATCGGCCCCCGTTGATTCTTCCACATCGGGAGTACTGAGCACCCTGAACACATCATTACAGTTGGCGTCCACAGGTACTGTCCTATTGGACTTGAATGTTTCTACTGTTGAATTGCTGTCCACAGAAGGTTTGTGCCGAAAGGCCTCAGCACACTACCCAGCCATAGCTTCTGCTTTCCCTTTATTGTCTTCAATTAAACAGTCAGTTTCCGTCTCTTTGACTAGGAATGGTATACCACGATACATCCTGTTCCTGTAATTTACTTGGGAAAATAGTGTCTTCGGAAGTTGAGGTGAACTGCGAATAACACGTATTTCGGAAAGTATTCACTCATGTTTGAGACCACATCGTATCAGATTGCATCCTGCTAGTGGTCTTCATAACTTTCTTAGCCAACTTCATGTGTTCCACTTTTCTGGACCTTAGTTGTCAGATCAGTGAAGCCGTTTTGGGAACCAGCTTCAGACGAGGGTACCTGCGACTTTAAGCGTATGTGCTTAATGTAGTACTTAATTCTACTTATTTTTCTAAAACCGATATGATGGGTTCTCCTGATCAGTCTCTTGCCCACTGAAAATGTTCTTTCTCGTGATTCGAGCCAGGCCCCTGTCTGCGTAGGTGCCCGAAGTAAGGCTAGTATTCTCACTCATGGGGATCTCAGTTCGATGGGAATATGGGAGGTTACCAAAGTTCGTAGGTAGATAACATCCAAGCTGGCAAAACACTCTGCGTGTACTTTGGAACATTTAGGAAAAAGACAGTGGAAAAAATTTAAGGCTCACTGCAGGCAATGCATTTTCATCCCTGAAGTTTCCAAAATTGCCAAAGCGCATCCAAAGTTCGTTCAAACAGTTTGAGTTTTTCCATAGTCCGCTCAAACTGTCTACTCGAAGTCCAATATTTTCCAAAGGTCGCCGAAATATTTAACCCAAAACTCCGCTTACTCCCAGCCTCGCCATTTTGCCTGAATTATATACGTTCGGAATTTTACATTAATATCTCATGCACTGAAAACTACAAGCATTCCAGTTATCTGCGAAATGAACATTTACCCGCACTCAGTCTACGTACATGGAATCTATGTAGCAGGGTAAATATTCCGGCAACGAATTATATTTTTTGGACTGCAGATGTAAGGAATAAGACGATTCGTTACATAGAACTGGAATTTGTTCGTACGTTTCCGCTATTAGCTTCCTGAATACTGACCACGCGTTTGTCTGCCTTCTCTACATTCTCAGAGGATAGTACGTGCGCGCTTTCAGTGTACTCCGATATGCGGATATGTATATCCGCATCCATTTACTAAGAAAGTTCAACTGGTTTGGAAGATAACCATACCGGCACCTCACGGTGTGGCCTTATTTCTCAGCCGAGGCCGATAGCTACTTTCGTGAAACCATTTCGGGATACCCAAGACCACCCTTTCAGAGGTAACCTCTTCGCTACACTACCAAGCCCATGACGCCTGCAAAACGAGAAGAAACCTATAAGCAACTTACATACTGCGGCGTTTTCGAGCATTAGCCTCTTAAATGGTCTTTTCGAAAGAGTTAATTATCAAAGCGAAAACGCCGATTTTCTGATGCATTCGATAATCTTGTTTACGTTGTCACCAGTCATCAGTTCATGACGCAGCTGTAGTTTAGCTTGCAGCATGATAGCAGTCATTCGCCGTTGGGCCATCGCAGTCACAACTATTTTGGGGTTCATATATAACGTCTTTGGGCCCCAGTAGAGGATTAAACAAAAATGACAACTATACAAGGTCTCCATATTACAGTGGTTTGAAAAGCATATTTTACACACAAACTGGAAGTCTGGATACATAAAACACGTCGTTTAGTCTCACGCCTGGTGCAAGTATGACTTGGATGAGAGAACACTGCACCACTGAGTCAGTGTACTAAAAGTATGTTCAGTGATGGAATTCGTTCCTTCAGGTGAAAAAGTTTCAAACATTAATAATTCGGAATGAAGGATTTTTAGTTCACCCTACAATACTGTAGCAGCACTGAAAATGAGTTAGAAGTATGCCCTTGATGACTTTGCTACAACTTCAAGGTTGTTCTGCAACTTTGGCGTTTGCTTTAGTGCTGGGCGGTTGAGCCAATTTTTCCGAATCTCCATAAGTCCGCCCAAATTGCTCAAAGTGTCTGCACTGCGCTCAAATCTGTCAGATTATCTGCATTGCGTTCACTTTTTTCCAAATAAAGCATTAAGACACAGTAAGTAGTGTACGCGTGTTGAATTTCGATGTGTAGATGTTAAGTTGTAACTGTTTATTAACTTCCTGGAGACTGTCATCCTGCGTAAATTAACTTAATATGGAAACATGCTCGAATGTTTCGAATTGCACGTGAAATTGACTTCGGTTAATACTCAAAAATGTCAAAGTGCACACTGAAGTGTTTGCTGGTTGGGATTGATCTATAGTTACTAACCAGTGCTAACTAGTTAGAAGATAGTGCAGGTGTATCATAACAAAAGGATGGTTGGTAGTAGGTTAGAAAGTAGCAGAAAGTCGGTGAGCTCAGTAGTGCCCTGAGTACGTCGTTGGTGAGCTTTATTTGTAAGCTGACACATATGTGTCGTCTTTTGAATGGGCACTTACCGGTCTTTAACTATATTCCGCTGTAAAGCATTCCATAAGACACTCTTTAGGAGAAGAAGTTTGACCTAAGCCTGGTTCTGTCTCTGATGTGCTATTCTGATCCGGTTCTTTATTAGTGACCACCGTGTTCCAGCTAAGGTTGGTTTTTTCGTGTCACTCGCTTGATGGATGAGTTTGCAAGTCGTAATAAAGTCACCCCTCTTTTGGCGATACCCCAAGATAATCAACTGACTGCCTATGACCTAGGTTTCAGTGTGTTAGAGTACGTTTTTTCTGTTAGTCCGATATCAGGTCTTGTCGCAGATCTTTTGACTCTCAAGGAAATTGGAATCTTTCTTATGCGATAGCTGCTACCTTGACGTGGTGGTCGGGCTTGCATATCACAATGACCCAACGAGCTATGCTGGTGGAACGCTTGTTCCCTCGAGGTCCTACCATACCAGAAAGGTCTGTTGGGTAGTGGTTAGACGAAAAGCAGTTACCGTCATAGTGTAAATTGCTATACTATGATGGGGGTCTGAGGGCGAAGTCGTACTGCTGCTAGCTGGATGGGGTGTGACAGCAGTAAGGTGTTTCCCTTGGATGACCAGCAGTGCCAAGCTGATGCTGCCTTCTCAGTGGAAGGGGGGGTTAGAAAAGGTCGGCCCCAAAAATAACACACTCCACCACGCCCCACGGTCTGCCGGGCCGGCGGTGTTGGTTCACTTGTCGTTTCCTTTCGCTCATCCGGCCCCAAAAATACAAAAATTCAAAATAATCATACTCAAAAGGCTGGGTGTGACAGGCCTCAAGCAGATGTCCGATGGGCTCTGCGGTCACACAAATCTCTTTCAGGTACCTTAAGAAGAAATAGCCTTCCACGGTGTGGGCAGCCGGGAAGTGTCAACCGCCCTCACAACTCTGTCAGCACCCAAGTTTCTTCTGACTGCTATCCTCCTCCTCCATCATTACCTTCTAATCTTCCTTCACGTCTCTTAATTAATGATGCTGCATCATCTTCAATTTCTCCTACCTCTGCAGCCTTCGACAACGATCTGAGTCCACAGAACAGTGTCCCTGGTCTCCTTAAACCACGCTCCAAATTACATATTGGAGCCTTCAATGTCCGCACCCTCCGTCAAATTGGCCAACAGGCTTCGTTGGCAAAGACTCTAGCAACTCGAGGCATGGATGTGTGCTGTGTTTGTGAGACACGCATACAGGACCCAAGTGTGGTTATTCACCTGACCTCTCCTGACCAATCTGGTGAATCTGCAAAATTCACCCTTCGAGTTTCTGGAGATTCGATAGCTAGCTCTCGTGGTCTTGCAGGTGTAGGTATAGCATTAAGCACCAGGGCAGAAAACTCACTACTAGACTGGATCCCAGTTGATAGTCGCCTCTGCGCTATGAGGCTGAACGGCACAGTGAGAACTAAAAGGAATAGTGAGACTCGCCGTTGTCTCTTTGTAATCTCTGCTTACGCACCCACTGACTGTAGTTCGGATGAAGTGAAGGACGAGTTCTACCATAAACTGTCTAACCTCCTCTCGAAAGCCAAACGTTCGGACGTAGTGGTTGTTGCAGGTGACCTCAACGCACAGGTGGGTAGACTGAGTGAGGCAGAAAGGCACTTAGGTGGCACTTTCGGAATCCCAGCTGAACGTACAGATAACGGTGATCGCCTATTACAACTATGCTCAGATAACCGCCTATTTTTAGCCAGCACAAATTTCAGACATAAAGAAAGGCACTGTCTGACCTGGCGTCCACCGAGCTCGACTCAGCGATGGACACAGATAGACCACATTGCTATTAGTCATCGCTGGAGAGGATCGGTGGAAGACTGCCGCTCCTTCTGGAGTACGTGTTTGGACAGCGATCATGCGTTGGTCCGAGCACGTATATGCCTGCGTCTCAATGGACGTAGAAAAAATTTGGCAACAAAACCACTACGAGTTCTGCTGGACAACGAAAACACCAAAGCCGTGTTCAGTGAGAAGTTGGCTAGGCAGTTATCGGAACAAAAGACTGTCACTCATCCAGAAGAAGCTTGGTGCCATCTTCAGTCTACTGTAAAAGCAGCACTGGAGACTGTAGCCGACTCCAAGATAATGGCTAAAAAGAGCCAGTGGATATCAGCAGCTTCTTCCAAACTAATGGATGCACGTGAATGCATCCCTGCAGGCTCTGAGTACAATGAAGAGCGAGCGCAACTTAAAAATAAACTGACGAAAAGTCTGCGCAACGATCGTGAACAGTGGTGGGCAGCAAAGGCTAAAGAGATGGAAAAGGCAGCGGCGATCGGTAACAGTAGACAGTTATTTAGACTTATTAAGGAGACTGGGGGGAAATGGTCAACAACAGTTAGTGAGGTTATAGCGGAGAAGGACGGATCGGCGATTCACTCGCAGGGAAGGCGACTGGGACGATGGGCAGAACACTTTGAGGAACAGTTTAACTGGCCTCCAGCCACCATTGCGCTGCCCGCTATCCAGTCGGACCCTGAATGGGACATAGAGACAGGTCCCCCAACACTAGAAGAAGTTGAGAAAGCGGTAGGTAGCCTGAAACGGGGAAGGGCAGCAGGACCAGACGGACTACCTGCTGAGGTATACAAGAATGGTGGTAGAGTTCTCTTAGTCAGGCTAACGGAAGTGTTAGCCAGTATATGGGAATCAAATACGATCCCCTCCGACTGGTCTAAGTCACTGATCATCCCAGTCTTCAAGAAAGGCGAGAAGTCCTCTTGTGATAACCACAGAGGAATCAGCCTGACAAACATAGTGTCTAAGATCCTAAGTTCTATAATTCTCCGACGCCTGAGTGGAGCTCGGGAACAGCAAGCCCGAGAAAACCAGGCAGGCTTTAGACCTGGCCGTGGATGTATCGACCAAATATTCACACTGCGCCAGGTCCTGGAACATAGGCATGCTTACAGACGCCCGACAATAGCTGTATTTCTCGACCTGAAGGCGGCATTTGACTCCGTTGATCGAGAAGTCTTATGGCAGTGTCTGTCACTGAAAGGCGTGCCTAGTAAGTACATCACCTTATTGAAAGCTCTCTACTCGAACACTTGTGGGCATGTTAGAGCCTATGGTGAGTTGTCCAGGGAGCTATACTCATCAAGTGGTGTCCGTCAAGGATGCCCACTATCCCCATTCTTATTTAATTTTATCATAGATATTCTTATGGAGGTTTCCCTCTCGTCACCTAATTACAAAGACGTTGACCGGATCACAGGTGAATTTTCCTTAGATCTAGAATATGCAGATGACATAGTCCTGTTAGGTGAAGACGCTGACAAGATGCAGAGTCTTCTGAACACTTTGAGTGGGAATTTGAGAATGTTTGGGATGCGATTTTCACCACCCAAATGCAAATTTTTGCTCCAGGACTGGTCTTCAGCGGTACCGCGGTTAACAATAGAGAGTGAAGTGGTTGAGTGTGTTGACCACTTCACTTACCTGGGAAGTAGGATCAACTCCGGTGGGTTAGTTGCCGATGAGATTTCTGCACGGATACAAAAGGCTCGATTGGCTTTTGCCAATTTGCGCCACCTATGGCGCCGCCGTGATATTCGTTTGTCTATTAAGGGTCGCGTGTACTGCACAGCAGTCCGCTCTGTTCTACTGTATGGCTGTGAAACATGGCCATTGAAAGTGGAAGACATGAGAAGGTTACAGGTATTTGACCACCGTTGCCTTCGTAGTATAGGACGTATTCCGTGGTGTCACCATGTGAGTAATGCAGAAGTTAGGTGTAGAGTTTTAGGGAGAAGAGGTAAGTCAGTCGACGAGGTTGTGAACCTTCATCGACTGAGATGGTTGGGACACGTACTACGTATGCCTAGTCACCGATTGCCTCGTCACACAATGTTGGCTGAGGTGGGTTCAGGCTGGAAAAAGGCCCGAGGTGGCCAGACTAAAACATGGCACCAATGTATGAAGTCTCTGACTGTTGGTTTAAGCCATGTAGGACGATGCAGACTAGGTGGTTGGGGTCCACGGGACAAGAGGAACCAGTGGTTGGAGACCCTAGGTGATATGGCTCAGAACCGAAGTCAGTGGCGCAGATGTATACACACATTATCCTCATCTTAACAACGCTATACCGAATCTCACTATTTTGTCACTCCTCTTTCCTTTCTTCTCATACTTTATATTTCTTTTGACTGCATTCACTTATCTTCATCCTTCACCTCACTACCTTTTTACTTGATGTGCTGATATGAGGTGTGGCAACTCGGACCGTTACGCAGTAATGCCTGGTCCTATGTTGATAATGATGATGATGATGATGATGATTATGCGATATGGGTGGTACCCTATCGAGAAATTCCGAGTGTGGCCGTAAATAGATTGAAAAACCGGTTAGAAACAGTTCTCGAGTGAGAGCACCGACTTGCAGTAACTATAAACGCCTTCGTTATGGCTGCTATTCCTCTGTAATTGGAGCTGGTGCGTAGAATGTCAAAGAGGTTGGACCGCAGGTTTTTTCCGTGGACATTTTGGTGGTGGTACATTTGCTCACCTTGTATTCGAATCCGGCCATCCTTGCTTCGCGGGTCCTGATACCCATTACTTTTCGCTTCTCCAGGTTGAAGCTCAAGCCATTCTCTGACAATCCGAGTTCTTTGTATTCTGTGTTGTTTTGGAGTACTCTACGGATGAGCTCTTCGTTTACCACCCCGAGATTTTATTGTCTTCCGCAAAAAGAAGGATGGCGGGGGGGGGGATTTTGTGTAGGGGGTCGTTGGTGAGCATCAGGAATAGAATTGGCCTCAGGATTGCCCCCTAGGATGCATCCGGTGTCGATGGCCTCCACTTGAAATGTATTCCGTTCACTTCGGTGCAGAACTCTTTGCCTTCTTTGTAGGCTTTAAGCTAAAAACGCAGAGGTTCACCAATGCCTTCTGACGTGATTTTATGCAGTGGGTTTTCCTGCAGGACACTGTTAAGGGCTTCATCTAGGTAGAGGAAAGTGACATGTACCGGTTTTCTGTTTTCCCATCTGAATGTTCAGTCGTTTCAAGTAGTCAGAAAGTTCGTAGTACATGAACGACCACTCTAGTAGCTGTGTTGAGCATTTTGAACCGTGCTTTTCTTGTAAATTAGTTCCCAGGCCTTGTCTGCTGTCAGGCTTCCCAATACCTTGAACAGTATAAGTAGTAGGGAAGTCAGTCTCTAGCCGCTAGGGCTTTTTCTGTCTCTTGAAACTGTATGGTATGATGGCGCACTTCCACTTCTTAGGGAGTTTACATGACTAGCAAGTGCTTGCAATGGTTGCAGACTTATTTCGCCAATGCCTCGGAGCAATGTTTTTTCGGGATTACTGACCTCAAGTAGTAGCAGCTAGAGGACTTGACTGGCCGGAGCCTGGATAGCTTTTTGGATACTCTTCTGTGTAATGGGGATATGGCAAAGGTATTCGTTATTTACCGTCTGCTCATTGTCGTTTCTTACCGGTGCGGATTCGACGTCAGAAGTACTGAGGTGAACTTTAAAGCGTGAACTCAGAACTTAGCTGTTTCTAAACTGCTCAGTACTGTAGTAGATTTCAATTTTAAAACGGTCTCCTAACTGTTGAATAGCGTCTTGCTATGCCATATATGATTCAGTCGTAAAGTATTATTTTCTGAAGTATTTTTGAGTAGCTGTCTTCACTTAGATGTGAAGTAGATACATCTCAAATTTATCACTTCGCTTATAGTACTGTCCTGGTCATGTGGTATGTACACCTTATAGCATACATCATTATTCAGGCGTTTTGCATTAATTTAAGATATGAGCAAAAAATTTTGTTTTGGGAGTCGCTTTCATAACTGGAATTGTGATGATAATCTCAATTAATAGATCATGAGGAGACATCACAATATGGATCCCAATCCTCAAAAAACATCCGATATCAATAGTGAGAGTTCAGGAAACTGGTAGTTTTAATCTCTTGCGTCTTCATCTTTCCTGACGAAACACAGCGAGTTTCCATTTCATATAACTATGATTTCTGTCTGGCAACCTGTATATATCACAATCAGGTGTAATTAATGCAAGTTGCATGGTAAATGGCGTTTATTTTAACATCGTTTTTATTTTAATGAACTCAGTGTGATATTCTACTTAGTGAATGCTTTCAAATAAGAAATCAACCGAATCGCAGGGGTAAGTTCTACAGCGGAGTTAGTTTACTGAGACTAGAAGACCTAGTTACAACGACAAAGTTTCCATGGTGAAAATGTAAAACTTGCTCTGTTTACGGTTTATGGTTCTAATCACATACTTGTCTCCTTTAGTCTTTTCAGACATCACACCTTTAGAAAACTCAACGGATGATGCTATAGCCTAATATTAATAGATTATGAGTAAATCGATTGATTATCAAGATCCAAATAGTTGACTCAAAATTGTAACTTTTTCTATAACACAGGTTTCAGTTATAAATGTACATCATTGTTACTGGTTTTGGACTTTATGGAGATCATGAAAAAAACTCCAGCTCGTTAGCTGTCCGTTACCTGAGGCAAATTTGGGACGCAAAGTACTCCAGTGTTTCTATTCCTGCGAAACTGCGTACCATAGAAGATGTTCCTGTTACGTATGAGGCAGTAGATGAGTGTGTTGCAGCCGTTTGGATAGAAAACCCTGTAAGCGACAAATTTATTTTACATGCATTTGTTGTGGTGCAAAGCATTCGTTAGGGGAGCAGCACAAGTAAAGCTGTAGTAGTCCTGATGATAAACAGTTCATTTTGGGACTTCCCATGTTTCTTGATGTATGGTAGTATCGCGACTTATATTGCCCCTTGTATTGTTGTAACATGGTACTGTTCTGTATTGTTGGCCACATCTGCATAATTGCCAGTGACTGCTTCGTTGTACATAAGATACTTCATCCTAGAGGTTTCTACATAATGTGCAGTAACTCATAGTTTAACTTTCCCGATACCTTTTTCAGGGGCTCTGAAGTGAATTTTATTTTTTAATTGTAGACAGGCAGACAAAACAACGTATAACCCGCATACAAGTGTATTGGCTTAAGTTACCACACTCCACAGTAGTACACAACGAACAGGTGGATAGAAAAATACTGATATCAAAGTAGAAAAAGTTGAGTGAATAAACAATTTGAGAATGAATGCTAGCACAAATATTCAAGCTTTATAAGATGTCAAGGATTAAATACATCTGCACCATTGTGACCAATTTTCAGACATATCAACAAGAGATCCCAACAACTGATGCTTATCGTTCCAGTTATCCCAACCAGGCAGTTTACATCCCCCGCACACGGCTCAGACAAACAGTCAGGAACTTAATAAACTGGCACCACGTCTTGGGATGAGCACTCTGAACCCTCGTCGAACTTCCCCTAGCATGGCACGTCGAAGTAGGCAGTGGCTTGGCGTGCGCAGTGTATTTCCAAGCCATCTCAGCCGGTGAAGGTGCATAACTTCATGCGTGAACCTGAACATTGCTCACACAATGATTCCAACGAGCACAAGCGGTGCTATCTGTGGTAAAAACCTGTAACCGATTCATGTCTTCTACTTTTAACGGCTATGTCTCAGACGTTGTAGGGTGGTGAGTGATCCATTGCTTCGTGAAAAACAGTTTTATCGTAAATGCACCCCTTTTAATTGCGTTTTATACTTCCTATATGCACACATGAGGTTGATGTTAATTTATGGAAGCCATTTTGAACGCTTTTAGAAACTGCAACGTGGTGTTTGAGAGAATCATGGCTGAATGGTCGTCACCTGCACCTCATCTCCTAGATTGTCGTGAGGATGATTTCTAAATTATAGCAATACCTATCTTTCTGAGTGTACCAAATTCCTGTAGAGTTGAAAACTTTTTCATTTTGTTGAGGTATTATGTACGCTTATGTTAGAAATCCCTGTATGATTACGTTGTTCTATTAAAGTGCAGACTTATCTTCGGTATTCAGTTGCAAGTGTATTGTTGAGACCCAACCGTTAGCTGTTACCTTGACGTGGTGGTGGAGCCTGAATGTCCCAGTCACCTCGCAAGCCGTGCTGTTGAAACGCTTGTTTCCTGGATATCCTGCCATACCGGAAAGGTTTGTTGGACAAAATGCAGTAGTCATGAAGTGTAACTTTTTCGCCATGATGAAGGTCCAAGGGCGAAGTTATACTGGTGACTGGACGGAGGTATGACAGCAGTCAGGTGTTTCTAGCTGACGACAACCAGTGCTTCTCTAAGGCTGCCTTCCCTATGTGAGCGACGTCCAGAAAAGGTCGATTTCAAAATATCACTTTCCTCACTACTCCGTGGCATGCCGGTGCCAGTGACCTGGGTTCATGGCCGGATTCGAAGCCAACAATCCTGAACCTCAAAGTTTTGAGAATGCCGTGTGACCGGCTTCAAACTGATGTCCCTTGGTTTTCTTGGTCGCCCACTAACCCGTCTGCTTAGGTATCTAAAGGACAACTAACATTCCATGATGTGGGTAACCAGGAACTGTCAACCGCCCTCACAAATCTGTCAACGCTGAAGATCTCTCTGATCACTGTCCATCTTTTACATCTTTAACTTTCGATCTTCCTTCGGGCTCCTTGGTCAATAATCTTACATCTTGTTTAGTTTCTCCCAGCTCTGCAGCTCTTAACAACAATCTGATTTAGAGTGGTTGCATCACTTGTCTCCTGAACCACGCTCTAAACTACGCGTTGCTGCTCTCAGTGTTGATGCCATCAATCAAATCAACCAACAAATTTCGCTAGCTAAAACTAGGATATTGACCCGTGAGTGTGTTCTGTGTTTGTGAGACACGCATAAAGAACCTAAGTGCGGTTATTTACTTCGGCCCACTTAACCGGTTTGGTGAATCGGCAAAATTCACCCATCGGGTTTCTGGAGGTTTAGTGACTAATTCTTGTAGTCTTGCAGGTGTAGGTATAGCATTCAAGGGCTAAGGTGGAAAGTTCTCTATGCGACTGGATCCTAGTTAGCAGTCACTTGTGTGCTGTTTGACTGAACTCCAAAGTGGGAACCAAAAAGAATGGTAAAACGTGGTGGTCTCTGTAATCCCTTTTTGTTCACTCCGGTAGCTGACTGGAACGATGGCCTGAACACTTGAAGGAACAGTTTAAATGATACCCATTCCACTATGCAGTCAGATCCTGAGTGGAACTTCAAGGTAGATCCCTCAACATTTATAGAGTTTGAGGAAGCTGTGGGTAATGTCAAAGGAGGAAAAGCAGCAATCCAGACGGATACGTAACATAGGTACGGTGGTGGGGGATTATTGGTCCCATTAACTGAAGTGTTGACTGGTGGGTGAGTCAGACATGATCCTTTGTGACTCATCTCGGTCACTGATTGTTCTAGTCCTCACGGAAGGGGAGAAGTTCTCTTGTAATAATCACAGGGGAATCAGCCCGACAAACATAGTATCTATGATTCTAGATTCTATGATCACTAGGTTATTGTATGGAGCTGGTGAACGATCGACATGAGTAAACCAGACTAGCTTCAGGTCGTGGATATGTCGATTAAAAATTCATACCCTGCCAGATTCTGGAACACAGGCGCATTTACTGACACTGGCTATATTTGTCGACGTGAAGGCGGCATTCGACTCCGTCTGTTGTGAGGTCTTATGGAAGTGTTTCACTTAAAGGAGATCCCTAGTAAGTTTATCATTTTGTTGACTCAGTACTTGAACATCTGTGGGCGTGCGAGATCTTGTGGTAAGTGTTGTTCGTCAAGCAGTGTCCGACAAAGACGTTCCCCCTCTCCATTCTTATTCAGTTTTATCATAAAAGTACTTATGGAGGTCTTCCTCTTTCCACCGTCTATTTCGTCGCACAATGTTAGCTGAAGTAGGCTAGGGAAAGAAAAAGGTTAGCGGCGACCAGACTAAAACATAGTGGCAGTGTAGGAAGTCTTTGACCGTTGATCTGAGCCATGTAGAAAAATGTAGACGTCCTGGATGAGGTCCGCGTGGCAACAGAAATCAGTGGTTGGAGACTCTGGGTGACATGGCTCATAGTCGATGTTAATGGTGCAGGTGCATCCATATATTATCGTCATCTTAATCGCTATTCTTAATTCAGTATTTTCTGATTACGCCCTCCTTTTTACTACTTTCTACTGCTCTTGATCGACTCTCCTCTGTTCCGTTTTCTTTCTGGTTTGATATGGTGATATAAGGTGTGACAGTTTGAACCGTTATATATTAATGCCTCGTTCTATGTTAGTGATACTTATACAAATACACCGTAGTTCCATCGAAACTGGTTTGGAGGAAGTCATAATGGTTTAGAAGGCCCTCGACTATTGTTACTCTACTGTCAGACGTCATGCCTTTTTTGGTGTACATAACTGTCTGAATTGACGACTAATTTACTGAGCTTTTATCTTCGTGATATTTTTTTCCAGCTTGTGTAATCTTCTAAGCGATATTCTGTTTTCCAGTAGTTATAGACATCTTTTACTTAGTATGCTAAAAGTGTAAACCAAATTACATTTCTTGTGTTTTAACATAATCAGTGTTAGTTGTAATACTACTTCTTCCGGAAAAAAAAATGAATAAAACTACTTAATTGTTTTTAGTAGGATTTGGTGATTCATGTCGGTATGGATGTCAATGTAACAGTACCTACTTTAGAAACTCAATCATATAATTTTGGTTACAATAAGCCAGATACTGTTGGTATTTATTGTCCGAATGATGGCTGTGTTTCGTGTCATGGTGAACCAGTTCTTTATTGCAAAATGGATTTAAACAAGGTATATGGCAATTTGATAGATAATCATGTTGCTTGCTCAACTTCAAATAATCCTGGACAGTTTTTATGCGGCTACATATACTACAAGTTAGTTGTACCTCTTAAAGTTCAGTTATTCTACTTGTATACAGATCATTAGAACTTTCACCCGATCGAGTTGTTTTCGTGCATGTCCCCTGTTCAAAGAAAATGCCTATCGAAGATATAGCAAAATCACTTCTACAAATAATTCGTGAACTAGCTGCTCAGAAAGGAACAGTGATCCCTCAGAAATGAAGATGGTTCGTGAAAATGATTTACAATTGTTTTTTTAAGATGAATACGTGGATCAATTGTCGACAGTAACAAACGACTTTTCGTATTTTATAATTTGCAATTTTATCTTATTGAGTGTAAGGCGTAATATATACCTTTCACAAATATAAAAAATATTCATAATTTTTATTCTTATAAACTGTAATTCTTCCGTACATATGGGATTAATGGTGTTTGTTTTGTGTTTATTATTTAGATTTGTGTGGTGTGGTTGCATTGTACGCTTTAGATGATATCGAATTTAGGCTGGAAAAAGTTGAAAGGTAGATAACGAAGCTTCACTCAGTAGATGACAAACCAGTTGATAAGAAGTGACCTTAATCGAAATCAATATTTTAAGTCATCGGCTGCTAAGATAGAAGTTTTAGATTTCAGTCTTGTCTCATATTACTGTGTGGTCAGTAAAAAACATCGGACAATTTTGCCCCACAGCTGACCAGTGAAAATAAGTATCCAACTCCTGACCTAGGGGCTTTATATTCTGAGGAAAACTATATAAATGATGTTTTTTTTGTCAAATAAAGTATCTTCCTCACAGTCATAGGTCGGTCTTTGTCTTCTGATTTTCGCAGCTCAGTGCAGTATCAGGTTTCTGAGTGAGAACAGGCGCTATTCGCGTTCAGTTCAATTGTCTCATTGCGTTATTAGCGTTCTCGTATTATTCTGTCAGTCACTTCACCAGCATGTATAGAGCTGTCGTTTAAAAAAGACCATGCTAATTTATGAATCCTCAAGAAATCATATCACATCTGTCTTGCATAACATCTGCAATGAGTCTCATTGTACTTCCTGACTTGATGGTTGCATAAAGAACACACAGAACAAATATTTGTTGACAGACATTTTTTGCCACTTACAATATGATATAATTCCAGTACTGTTTCGCGCATACCTGAAAATGGTGTTATGGTTTTTGTTCCATTTCGTCAGAGTTTGCTAAGGATTTTATACTCATTTTCAAAGTATTACAGTTGTGCACACTTACTTTAAGATACTGACATCTGTTGCATAACAACTTATTATACGTTATTGCAGTGTGCTACCATTGTGTACAAAACTTTTGTATATGTGTGGCTAATAAAGAGTTCCTAAAAATACTAAAAGAAGGACTTTTATATCTTCACTTTTTTTCGTGAAAAAAGCGCATTTCGTTTTCCGTGTGCTGTTGATCATGATGGTATCATTGTTCTTTCTTCGTCTGGCTAATACGTATTGGTCGAGAAATAGTAGACTAAGTACAGTGTTTTGATTGAATGGTGTTACTTTAACCTGTCATGAATAAGTTCTATGTATTTCTGAATCACGCCATAGAAATCAAATAGCATTTTTCTCATTCGCAACTCAAACATATTTTCATGAAATTTAATGCATGCAGTCGAAGTTGTCTTGTTCCGTGAGAAGGTTGATATAAAGGCTAGTCTTCTTGACTTATCAAGTAACAATGTTTCGTATCTATTGCATACTTTTTGGACGTGCTTCAGCGTTTGACTGCATCCATCAAAGGTTTAACAGCTAGGGAGTGGGTGGGTGAATGCATTCATTTCTTGGCTAAAGAATCATGTCAGTATTTGTGGGCTGTAAACAGCTTTCCTGTCAATCTATTTCACCAGCATGAGGGGTGAGATACACAAGAAGACCTATAATATACAACAGTGTTCTTTATCGTGGTATTGAGTAGTGAAAAATGGTCGCGGAAATCGTAAGTTTATGATTACTGATACATTTAGGCATCTGTTTGCATGATATTACCTAATGAGCAGTCGTGACCGGCGGGGTAAATGAAGTCGGACGTGAGGATGAATACTTATCGATGTCATCTGATGAAGATCGCGTTATATCGTGAATTGACAGAAGTAGGAGGATGTAAACCATTGGATTCCTACCCAGCAACTCAACTGTAGCATCCTGTGAAAGATGAAGGTCCTGAGTTTGACTCATGGTGGGGTCATGGGTGCGCACTACTGAGAAGTCCTATACTAGGATGGAACAGCTGTCTAATACTCCCTGGTTTTCAGTGTTTTTCCACTGACGTCAGTTCGTGATGTATGTCACCTAGAGATATGCCTCGGAGTTTGTCATAGTTGTTTCTGAATTTCGGATATCTCACTGTTATGGATTCTTCGTGGCGACATTCACCGCCTTTTATCGTGGTACGAAAAAGAAAACAGTATTTACTGTTTAATTAAATGAGCTTCAGTTATGCACAGTTGAAAACTACACTTACTTATCCGCTCACTTTTGTTATCACGGTAACTAGCTTCTTCAGAAAATGTTTATGTTTGTTTTTAGCTGGATTGTATACTATGTGAATACTTATAATATATCAGGATGAAGTGGCAGATCTTGAAATTGTTCAGTTTTAGGAATGCTTTGTAATATGCATAGATAAGGTGTCTCCAAAACTGTGTTTGGCAGATATCCTACCGAAAGTTATGGCGTAGTCGAAAATAACGGTTCCTAGGAAACATACTCATCTCACTAGGCGAACTCTCCACTTTTGTGCAGTAGGTTTTACTATACAGCAACTGATAAATCCTCTGTATTACGCTGCATTGCAGCTTTATTGTTGCAGTAAACACTAGCTTATTGAAACCTGAGGTATATACTTCACTAATATTAACGTGTGATTAAACAAGCCGTTAACCTTTGATTATATATATCATGTAATACTTCCAGAAGGCTTTTTTAATACCTTACTGACTTGAAAAATATCGGTAACCATTTCATACAGTTATCAACTTAGTTTTGTAGCAACCTCTATATGTGTTGGTGTCGTGTTTGCAGTCAGAAGGAATGGTCACAGTGAATCTATTTCGAATGCCCTTCATATTGTCTGTCTTTGTTCTCATTCTTTTACATTCTGATTAGGCCGCCTTCGCTTTAAGGTCTTGTATATTTTGCTAGCCATCTGAATTCGCCTGCTTACTGAGTCAGCTGACGTTATGTCAGTGGCCGTAGAACCAACTAGAACATAGCAAATTGGGGATAATAACAGTTTGGGTATTCTCCTCGATCGGTTAATCATAGAACCCAAAAGGAAACCCAAACCGAGGTTAAGACCCGAACATTGAACAAACCGTCAAGATAGAGATATAACAGCTACCTAGGATTTCTAAGCAGAAGAAATATATACAATGCATATTTTGAATGTCTGTATTCACATAATATCAGCGTAATTTAATCGCATAGATAAAGTGACATAATTTGTTATATTTGGAAAGATTCTTATTCAGTTAGCTGATGACTACTGGTAGAACTGTAGAAGAGTCAAAAATAATTTGTACATGAGAAGAAATTCACATCAGAAAAGATGTCCCAATCAATAGTAAGATATTAGTTTCCGGGTGGATTTCAAATTTTGAAATACGTAAAAGCAAAAAATGCGTGAACAAACAAAAACATCAAGTATTCCGATAAAAAATGCGCAGGTTGAGTAAAGAGAAAAGGTGCAACAAGTTTCCTCTTTCAATGTCTATGTTGTAAATTTAAGAGGAAAGTTGATAAGTCGATAGAGATTCTCTCGTAATTATGATAAAGCTGATGACGAACGACAAGAGCGTTTATGATCACAAACTAATTTTTGCTTGACAATGAGATTAGCAACCTCATTCATCTGTAGAAAGTAGAAACAAATAAACCTGTAAGAACGATTGATTATCTCTATTAGATATCTGCAATTAAAAAATATACTTCAAGTAGTTATGCCTAAAATTACGTATTATGTTTAAGACATTTTGTTGCTATTATCCAACGTACTCATTTGCGTCAGTATTCAAGTGCACACCTTAAATCTGTCGAAACATGTATTTTATACTGCTCTAACAATACATATTCAGCTCAGTAAATGTAAAAAATGTACGGTCAAATTATCTATAAAACAATATATTGAAGAATCTGGAAGGCAAAATATCCTCTTATACGATTTATTTCAATGGTCTGCACTTAGTTCTCGGGATTTTCGTTCTGAATTATTAAATATTCACAAACGTCTCCTTGCAGCTACTTTCTGCATATATTTCATTTCATTTTAAAATGTGTTTAGTTTTTTAGTTTCTGGTTTAATCTCTTTTCAGTTCCCTAACTCTTTCGCGCATTGGAATCTTTCCTATTGTTCTAAAATTACTAACCGAAAGTAAACTAAGATCTCTGGCTTAGCTAAACATCAGTTAGAGTGATGGTTTATACATTCTTGAAATGGTTGCATTTGTCAGGACTAGAATAAACTCTTAATTGCTTATTTATTATCTGTCCACCTCTGCTCATTTCTTCTTCTTGAAGTGTTGAGGAACGTGGCAACTCGAATTGATGCTCTTTTATTCTCCTCTCCTTGTATCTTGGAATTCATATGCAGTTTTGGTTTATGAAATCTAACTGTCTTCAGTACCGAAAAATATTGATAACAAAACTATGTATTTCACTTACAAATGAGGAATTATACTACTAACAAATGTACGACAATGGAGGCTTGTAAAATATTGGGACCGATATTCTTTTAAAAGTTGAATACTTTAGTTTTACACCTAAGAATACGCCATTTTTGAAAATGTAAAATGAAAGGCGGAAGAAAGATTTTATATGTTACTTCAGTGATTATCACGGACAGCTTTCTAAAAGTTCACGTAGCATATGATGCACGTAGTCGATATTACTTCTTTATATAAAATCCTGTTACTAGTAACTTATGTAAAACTGGTGTAAAAATGTTTAGCATTTTGGGGAATATCAGAATGCAAAAAAATCAATCGACAAACCGATGTTATAGAGTTTACGGTGGATTCCATTTTACTTCATTTGGTACATAGAAACATTCAGTTAACATAACTTGATTGTCACTGGAAATCAGAATGATATTTTAGTTACAAATTGAGTTTAAAAACCAATAACTAGTAACCGTCATTTAATCTCGTAGAATGTACTTCCAACCTATGGATATATACTATTCGTGGTGCTTAAGAAACGGAATCCTTCCTGATCAAAAAGTTTCAATATAATCAAAGGAGTACACAAGGGTGGTTTGTTAAAATTACTTACTAGAAGTAGAAGCTGATGCAATAGCATCGTATTTATATTTTCATCTTTTTTGACCTGGGGAAAAGTACCATAATCCACTGATCGACATCTGGATTTGAGCCTTTTTGCATGTCTGGAAGATGATCTTGAAATCTAAATACAATCCATGGTAATTAATTATCACTATTTAACTTATTGAAAGAAATTATATATATGAACAAGTTATGGAGATATCCTTGATTTAACGTATTGCATGCATCTTTATTTTCGCTACTGAATTTTATCGTAAAGGTCCTTAGAATACTTATCGGCGTAAAACATGCTATGCGTCAAATAGCCTTTCGACTGAGGTGAAATCTTTGTCATATTCAAGACCGGAGCCGTCGAAAACTATAGGATTAGAGTTTAAAGTTTTGAGCTAGTATTTTAGTTTATGTGGAAGGATTTAGACTGTTAGGGTGGATACAAGTGGAGTAAAATATTTGTTTATTCGTAGAGATTTACTTGCTATCCGCCAACCTCCATGTTACTTTTGATCGATTATCCATCACTCAGCTGTTAGATTAAAATTATTTTTTCGACATTTACTACTTTCTTGTAGATAAGTGTTTTCTTCAATTAGTGTCTGTTATTTGTTCTGATTCTTGAGTCTGAATATTATTTGATAATATGTACAATGAACTTACGGTTCGGTCTTCTAATTTTATTTAGTTGGGTTGTAGTATAGCCCGTGGTTGATTACAGTGAGTTAATCGTTCCAAAGTCGTCAGCCTAACTATTGCTTCCGCAGTCTAGTTTAGAGTGCAGTTAACCTGGTCATAATTGCAATAAAATTCACTCAAACACTGAAGGTACGAACTTGTTTTATTAGTTAAGCGAAATCGTAGAAACTGATGATTAAGAATACAAGGTAATATAGTCTCAATTGGGAGGTATCCATTCGTGATCTCGCTTTGTTTCTTGAATATGCTATTCTGGACCCCTTCCTTTCCCATATTGTCATCATGTTGTTCATTGAAATTCGTATTTGCCTTAATACTTTTCTATTACGGGATTCTTTGGAAGAATGAAGACTTTCAACGACACCTGGTAGATTCACATAGGTAATTAACTATGAATGCTTCATGAGAAAAGAGGGATTATGTCATAAATTGATTGCTTTGTTCACATACATTTGGTTGTTCAACCGAAATATGATGTGATTATGACAAACTAGAAAGGTTTTCTGTCTATTGTATACTAAATTTGACATCGTTATCGCAAAGCCTTACATCACAACAAGGTAGTTATTGGATACTGCTTAGCAGTGAACTGATACTAGTTTCTCATAAAAAACGTTCGCAGATCTTTTATCTTGACAAAAGACAGTAATCAGAAGTTACCATGAAATATCTTTTAAATACAGCAATATTTAGGAGTGAATTCCTTCAGTTGTTTGCTGAAAAATTTCAGAATAATATGTGCAATAATATACCAAACTGAATATTTATTTTTGAATTCCAAAAAATGTTATTACTTACTTTACGTTGATAGACTATAGGATTCTGAGAAACTGATTCACCGTCTATTTGTGGTGTACCATTCTTCGGAGTGGTATGCCTATCGCTGCTACTTGTGTCTTCTAACTGTGTTGGCATAAAATTCTGGTTAATCCTTTGACTTCTTTTGCTTATTTTTCGTTTAACAGACAAAGTGATTTGTTCGTTCTGTGATCCTTCATAGGATTTACTAATTGTATAGAAATTTGGATTTTTCTCATAACAATGCAAATAAGGTTCATTCAGTGATGTTTCATCTTTTTGTGATTCGTGCTTAGAACAGCTATATTGTCTATAGTCGTAATCCTCTTTGTTCTCATCAAAGGGTAGGCTACCAAGCGAAGATGATAAACTTTTCATTGACGTTGCGGTTGTATCTAGGATCTTATGAAACCAAGTTAGTAAGTTATTAAGTGATTCCGTTGTTGATGGATTTGAAACTACTGGTTGGTGTTTCTTACTACTGGATGATGAATTTTTCATTGTTGATGAAGATGGTGTATAATTTTGAGCTTCAATGAAAACAAAACAACAAGTAGATTACAATAAATTACCTTCTTTTGAAGCTAAGTTGACAAAATATACAGCAGTTTCCAGTTCGTATATTCTTCGAACATGGAATTTCCGACTTGTATGAAAATTTCTTCTAGCATTAAATTAATACGACGCTTTTGTGTCATTCATCAATATATTCTAAAGAAGTCATGACTTAATAGAACATAAAACTTGTGAAACGAATGAAAATATTCGCATAACTGATTGCCATGAGGAACTACTCTGGTCAAATTAGTCAAACTAATTCTCCTGGGGTTGTCGCAAGAAGACTTTTCCCCCTTCTTAATCACTCGGATGATCAGTGGAGTACACGAGACTGATGGTACTACTTTTGATTCCCACACATTACCCAGTCCATCCATCTCTCTAAGCCACAATTTCTTACCTGCCTCTTTGAAAAATTCGGATGGCAAACTATTAGATCTTTCTGCTTTGCATCGATTTAGGTTCGATACATACTTCTCAACATCGAAGAGAGTTGAAGGACGAACATCTACATCTCGTTCAGGTTCAGGCTGGATGTTAGGCAAGTGAAGCTTTGCTGTGGGCCAGTTGAACTGTACTTTAAAGTGTTCAGCCCTATGTTCTGACCACCCATCCTGAGTCATTACGGGCGTCTCATCTTCTTCGATGATGACGATAAAGCATCGTGAACTTTCGTCTCATAACAGTGCATACAGACAACCGGAGAGATGAATTCGGTTTGGAACCTGAACAGAAGAAGAATTTCCTAGAAGCTTGGTATTCCGATCAGTCAGAAATCTACAGGTGCATAGACATAGATAGTAATCTGTCAGCCAATAAGAAAATTAATTAACAACTACAAAGTAAGAGGTAAGGCAAAGAAATAGACAGCTGAACGATTCTGTGCAGCTAATGACAGAAACGTCAAATAACACTAACAAATGCAAACTATTTCGTCAAGGCAAGGACATAATCGATTATGAAAACATGCTGATGGGTCGCTTCATACCAAAATTAGTGGCGATGAATTTTTTTAGAAAGAAAACTATCCAGCTCAAAGGAAGCAACAACGCTGAGTCTTTATCCGTTCAATATTAAAGACACGTTTCATGTTCAGAATCCAGCATCAAAGCATATAAAAAAAAACAGAAATTTCAGTATAATGAATTGTAAGATCGGTTCTTTTATCAATGCATTGGTAAACTACCCTGTTAAAAGTTTACTTACACCTTTCAAAGGCTTTTTCAGAATGCTGTCAACCACACTAAATGAATCTTCTTTAAATGTGTTTCTTTATTATCTGATAAGTGTTGTAGGAAGAAACTTTCGATCAATATAAATTCACCTTTACTGAGTTATGTTGAAAAGTGTTCACGTTGCCGTTAAGCCATTTGCGCCTATCTACAGACAGTATACCTACCTCAGAAGAATCAGGTGAACTGATATACACACACTAATGAATTTTCTTTCGCCATTAAAAGATCATTCTGTTCCGCAACTCTGCTTATACCAACCGCTTAGGCGTGAATACCTATGAGAAGCAAAAGACTACCACTACTGGTTGCTTCAATGTGTCGTTTACAGTACACCTGATCCTATGGAATAAGACATGAAGTTGTATGCATAGGATTGTTCAACGTCAGTATGATCACATTCTAACATGACTCAGTGAAGGCGGATTTAGAATAATGAAAAGTTCTAGCCCACAACAGTATTTCAGAGTGAGTGCCATTTTAGAAGTTTTATTTCGTGTACTCTAATAAAGTTCTTATTTACGGTGTCAGAAAAAAAAGAATGGCAAAATAGTAACTATAATGTTATTTTCACATGTAGTAAAATCTCCAGTGTTTTGAAGTTTACACCTGAATCCTGCCTACAACGCTTTAAATTACCGAATATTTTCTAATTTTCCACCTTGGAAATATGTTTTCTCGTGCAGTTTTCCTCTACAAATCTATTAATCAAGAGGTAGTGAACAAGTAATGCAAGTCTTCTAGAAACTGTAGCTTGAAATGTAACTAGAATGGTTAGTAAAAATCTGTGACGGGACATCAAAGGCGTTTTGTTTGACACCTAAAGGATGACATAATTTCTTTTGTTTAAATGGATTAAAAATCTCATAATGAATATTTGTACACATAAATAGTGTTGTTAACACACGTATTCAATATGTAGAGAAGCATATATGTACATTTAAGGCTGCATTTTACACAATGTAATAAACCAACGTCATTTTTATCTAATAATTAACATTTATTTCTGAGTTGAAACCAAACAGAAACCGTTTCGTTAACGCGTTATTCGAAGAAAGTTATATGATCAATCATATATATTAGAAAACGGTCTGTCTTAATCAAATCTAAATACTGTTTATTGATCTTACCGACTGAATATAAGATTATTCTTAGTCAGTAAAGTGTTGTAATTCATTTCTTTCTGTCAACTAGTTAAAAAGTCGTTTGCATTTATTATCTTAATACATAATACCTGACTTATATGAACTTCGCTCTTGATTATAACTAATTTATTACTTATGTGTTTAATGCTGATGTTTGTAATCATATCCCCTAGAAAGGTAATTAGAAAAGCTTTTTCTTCTTAGAAAGTTATTTATGGTGGGTATAATCGATTTATATTAGATCTGTTTATTTGATATACAGCATACAGTGGTATTATTGACGTTTCGAGCATAAATCCTTAGTCACAATACTCTCGATGTAATCACACCACTTTCAACAACCGATTTTCATAGTCCTGTCAAACAATTTTCTTTGTTTTAATTGTAGTAAAAATTTTTTCCAGATCTCTGATATAGGTGTTGGAAAATTTTACTAACAATATAACAGTAGCCAAGTATATATAATTGATTTAATTTCATATAAGACTAGTTAGTTCTGTATAACGGTTAACTATTATTATTATTATTATTTGTCCCGTGGGTTACTAGTGGAACATAAGGCTTCTGTAGCTCGTCGCCATTTCACTATCTTCTCTGAAGTCTTCCCAACCTGGCTCCACCACTCCACACAAGTCTTCACTTCTTAATCACACCATCTCCTACATGTCACCCTCACCTCGGACACACAACTCCTCGTTTCCTCCGTCAATTCCACTCGACAGCATGGACTGGCTTGGTGCCTGATATCCCCAAACTGTCTACTCAGTGTATGCCCAACCCAATCCATCTCCACTTTCTTCTGCATATTTCTTGGCCGAAAGAATTCTTGATTCGTTGGTCCGTTGCTAACCACCAGAGTGAGTTCCTTCTTGTTTATTCTTTCTGATCATCTATCTAATCCTCACTATCGAGTGAGGGAGTGTAGGCGGCAGCTGTTGATGAATGTGTGTAGTTTGTTGGAAATGCTTTTCGTGACGCGCCACCAAGTCTCTCAGTCATCACATAGAAGCACTGACTGACTTGACTGAATCAGTGTTGAAAATCCGGATCTTGGTTACGCTGTATGCTGAGTGCAGTGCAGTAGATCTCCTCACTGGTTTAAGGTTAATGAAGACCTGTCTTGCTCTTACGATTCTGGCTTTGACGTCTTCATCTGTGCCTGTGCGGCCTGTAGTTGAAACGATGCTGTCCTGCCTGGATGGGTAGGTGGAAGAGATGACTTCCCTCAGGTTTCTCCCGTTGATGGTGAATGGTGCTTGTTGTTGTTAGTTGGTTGAGTATCTTCATCACCCCTGTCTTCTCTACATATTCACTTGAAGTCCCATCTTCGCTGCCACTTCTGTCAACTTGTTGGTTTTTACCTGTAGATCTTTGAATTTGTGAGATATTAGACACAGATCATTGGTTAATACTATAATGTAACTCAGACGGCAGATTGGCTTAACATAAAGCCTTAAAATTGTGCTTGAAACGTCATCCAATGAATAATACTGAGTCACTGTGTGCTAAATTAAATAAACTAATCCAGTATGAAACTATTCTGTATCACAGTTCTTAAATCTTACTCCTGTAATAATTGATTTAGCACTATAATGAAAGTTGTTGACTAATCGGTATTTTGTTCGATTTGATTTCCTCAGCTAAACAAAAGGACTTAATGTATTTTTGAGATGAATGGGGATTTTTAATTCAGAAGTAGTATTCATCATGGACTGACATCAGCTTGGGAACCATGGAAAATCTGGGAGCACTGGACCACTGGACCTCTAGCCGGGTCGTGGGTATGTACTGCTGAGGAGTCCCATAGTAGGACGAAACAGCTGTCCAGTGCTCCCAGATTTTCAGTGGTTCCCCAACTGATGTCAGTCCATGATGAATACTACTTCTAAAAGGACTCAATGTTTTTATCGGTCAATTCATTGTGTTTACGCTGTTATTCAAGGCCGAAAGACAAACATCAATTTTCCAATTTTTACTACAACTTTTACTCAATCGAATTGCAGGTTAATAAGTAAAGAATATTACTCACTTTAAATATCCGTCCAGCTTATTCCTATTTATATTCATTCATTAGAGTCAAAAAAACCTTTCCTTATAAACAGTTACAATATTTGATCAAATCATTACAGTTCCCCTTCTGATAGACTAACTGTAATGTTTAGTTACACATTTGCTTGACTTGAAATAATTTTAACCACAGTTTATCTGTAACGAGGGGTAATGTTGATCAGATTTGTATTTCACTCAACGATTACTATTACGATAGATCATGATGGGTGCACAACATTTCCCTGGGTGTGTATAGTTTAGCCCAACTGGGCTGACTGCAATCTTTCATATGATTGAATGTTTGCAGTTGTATTTCTTGCATTAAATATCAGGGTTTACACATAGCATCTTCAAAAGTAAAAAGTGTTGGAACATACTTAATCAACATCTAAATTGATAATCAGAAACTTTGTAACTTGTTACATGCCGAAAACTATTAAAAATATTAGTGTGATGTAATTTCTGTAATTTATGCATAATTCATTTTATTTCGGGTCAAACACAAGCAGCCGTAAATCTTAGTCAAGTATGCTCTAACCAATTTATTCTGAAGTAATTTGACATTATTATTATGTGACTAATTCTAGAAATTTTCTGAAGATCTCTTGATGATTATTTAGTGCTGTTTTGTTGAAGCGTAATAGTCAGTTAAACGTAAACTGTACGTTCCTCATTTTGTAAGTTAAATAACTTTGGCATATATCTACAGTTTATTTATTTCTGCTCAGCTGTAAATCAGAAGGAGCTGCCAACAAAATGGCTTTAAATATTTCTTACACTTAATTGATTTTGCAGATTAAAAAAATGGTAACGCTTCAGCAAGTGTGGCTACATTTAAACAGAGAAACGTATGGAAAGTACTAATAATGTGAGAATGTTAACGTTTCCAGTTCAAGTCACAGTAGTGGTAGCGTCTAACTAGCGAAAGGTTAGACAAAGTTTGAAAAGTAGTGGAAACCTTTTCCCAGCTTTTCTGTAGTCATCCGAATATTCATCTTTAATGCTCTGGTGTCTGGTATAAATGTATTATTTTTCTACAGAGATTGATATTGCTTAAGTAATTCAGAGTGAAATAGGAGTGGTGAAAATTCCTTTAAGTTCTAGAAGAACAGGTTACGTAACACCTTATTTAATATGACTGTATCGCATCTACATGCACAGAAAGTATAATCACAATGATGATGGTCATAATGATGTGTTAAACAGAATCGAGAAATCGCCTTCAAGTGTCTTAATTTGGTGCGATTACCGAGTGAAATGAAATGTTTATTGTTAGTGCCCAATCAAAATATCAGCAAGATGAACGTATAGTTAGGGACGTGTGCTTAAGTACGCAAGCTTCCGTAATTCGTATAAGCAAAAATGAACATAAACAAAAGGAATGAAAATAACGGCACCAACAGTAACAAAACGGAAGAAAATGACAACAGACAAGTTATGATAGGAGCAAAATATAATGACTAAGGTATACAACCACATTCTATAATATCTGGATTCGATGGAACTTCCAGAAGCGACCAACTGTTTCTCTTCCTTTCTAGTATTTAAGTATTAATATCAGTATTACCTCATATGTAGTTCCTCCATATGGGACTGGTTTTTCAAAAGTATTACAGAACAAATACTCTTGACAAACACATTTCTAAAAGTATTTGCTGTATGTGATGAGAAACAACAATGTTCTGTCCTTAAGTTTTTAGGAGGTAACACATTTCAACAGCATCATTAGTAGGTCAGGTCGAATTTCCTTCATGCCTTCGATCAAATTATAAGTTTACATTAAAGGCATTGGGTTCCAAAATGTCAGCTCCAGGGTTACAATGAAGAAACATTTTCAACGAGAGATTCAACATTCTTGAGGGGTTTTACTCGGGGGTAACACTTCTTAATCTTTTATTTCAACTAACTTGTCTCATCCGTTTACATTATACCTTGTTTGTTCAATACTCTTATCACCTCTAAACCTCTGAGTTATTCATATCTTATGGATGGTTTCGTATACTGCATAATCTACTTCATCACTGTCCCCACTTTGACTATAATTATGAGTAATTTTATCACCATGGTTATCAATATCATTCGATGACCGATAGAATCCGATCAGCATACAGAACCAGCTAACATGAAGTTGGTTGTTCTCTAGTGACCAATCAATGTATCCAATCCAGTTCTAAAAAACACTGATCGCGACCCGAGTAGCTCGGTGGTAACGTCTCTGATTACAGCACTGGGTGACACTCGTTTGAATCTCAAGTGAGACATTAGTTCCATCGAAGTTACAAATACGCCTTGCTGACCAACTAGTATGTTTATATTTCCTAACAAGATATAATTTTCTAACTATCGTGTAAATAAGAGTGTGCAATTTGAGAAAAAAATTCGTTGACATTGGTCTTTTCGCGTAATATTTTGTTCCTATTGTCACAATGGAACAATTAAATTATTTGAAATAAGTCTGGACATTTTAGTTGAATAGTACACGTGTATTCTTTAAGTTGCTCGTAACAAACCAATGTATCTAACTGATGTTTTTTCACTGATATAAAAATTAAGAGTTAACATGGATTCCTATAGTGATAGGATCCAATCTACTGCCACCTAAGTGATTGTCAATAAACAATAATCCTTGATATAACTGGCGTTTTAAAATAACATATTTTTTTCAGCTAAAACCAACAAGTGCTATTACTTAAGCTACACGTGTTTATTGAGTTTTCAGGAATTATCTACTATCCCCATACACAAATGCTTCCCAACTTCACTTTATATGTCAACATCTAAACTCCAAATTCAAGTGGTTATTAATCACAGAAAGTGGTAATTAGCAAATAAAAAATCGTAGGGGAGGTTCTGTTTTTACAAAGGAGTTTTATATTTTGTGGTTACACTAGTACACAGATTGTATACTTCTTATTACGCTATAGGTTGGTTGAATTTTGGCTTTAAGAGGTTTAGCAGCGATCGGCCAAAATTACTTAAGTTAATAGTCTTGCTTTCTGACATTCATACATCTGTATTTGAAGGCTGAAGGTTATTATTCATAGTCTTGTAGGCTTAAAAACCACTAGAGTATTTAGCTCACTTTTCTAGAATCACATATTTATATATTACAGTTTCCATGGCACAACGTTCACTTTTATTGTTATGATACAATCAATTCTGAAACAGATTTGTGCTGGATATTATTTACCAAAAAACAAAGCCATAAAATAGCTGATCAACAATAATCATTTAGAAAATGTAAATGTTTTCTGAGTATAATTCCAATGAGTTTCATGCTGGAAGCGTTAGGGATCATCTTGTTATTCAACTGTCACTCGATACAAAAAAGTGCATTAAGAGGTTTCAGCATAGTCATGATATCTAGTAAAAGATTACTCCATGCTGTCTACAATTACACCGTTCTATGATTTTAAACGCAAGGCACTTGTATATTTATCTTTGTTTTACAACTATGAAATATTTTTCCCTCACTATTTCCAATACAAACTAGAAAAAATTTCACGGTAATTTTATCTCCCAGTATTTTACTTAAGTTTAGTCTATAATTGGATGTTTTTTTCTTTCAAATGAAAGTTTGTCGTAGTTACATAGAGTGGCGTCAACTATGAAGTTATGTATATTCAAACTGAAGGCTAACAAATAAACGAATAGATTTACCACTTGTTTTACAGCAAAACTATTAATGATAATGATGGACTTACTACACCGGAAGTAAAATAACTGTCTACTGATCTAGAAACTACCAGATAGTGGACAACAAACCCGATAAAAGGAAATTGGTAACGCCGAAATCCTCAACTACCTTGAGCATTAAATGGATACTGAAGCGAAAAAGAGGGATTAAAACCTCATGTTTTAGATGTCACTAAACAGAACTACATTTTTGAATGTATTCGAAAGTAAGGCTTGGCATATTGCTCAGCAAAAAGCATTACCTTTATCTTCTTTATTGTCAGCTGGCAGTCACTCCTATCAAACTTTAGGATTCAAATATTATTTATGAAATTTAAATAAATGATTTTTCAAATAACTTTCGTGATTTAATGGGTGCACTGTGTAGGCGATTTAATTCAATACCAACTACAAATTTCATACAAACACCTTTAGTGAAATCAGAGAAACCACTGAGATACAGATGATTCTCTAACGTCATCTTTAAGTTTAGTATAAGCATCTATAGATTTTTCATTTCATCTCTGTTCAAACAACCAGAACTAACGAACCAAACCAATTATTAGGCATGTACTATTTATTGCTACTGGGTGCTGATTGAAGGTGAAATTAAAATTTAGACCAGGGTGGGATTCGGATCAGTGACCACCAGGTTCCTGGTCCGGTGCTCTACCAACTGAGCTGTGAGGCCCAACTGCTAATCAGATCTAACTTCCCGTCAATATCTAAGGGTTTCGTCTGACAACCATGTGAATTCGTGACGCTTTGCTACCATTTGCTCGTACTCACCCTGGTTGCCTAGTCATGACTTCTCATCCCAGTCTAGATCTAACTTAATTAGAGAGGTGGAGCATTATATTGATTATCATTTTGACTATTTGATATACCCGTAGTTTGGTAGACTATTATTTGTACTGGGTGATGATTGAATGTGAAATTAAAATTTGGACCACAGGGGTATTCGAACCACTGACCACTTGGTTTCCCACTCGGTGCTCTACCAACTGAGCGAAATGATAATCTGGCCAGCACTTGGGCATCGTAGCTCAGTTTGTAAAGCACCGATACTGAACCCCGGATCGAATCCCGCCACAGTCCAGATCTTCGTTTCACCTTCAGTCGCCACCCAGTATGAATACTAGTTTGTCAAACCACGGCTCAGATAGCCAATATGATTTAGTATTTACTCATCACATCCAGGATGTAGAGGCATACACATGAAGAGTTTTTAAAGAAAACTCTTTGAAAAATATTTCGTTTCTAAAGAGAAAAAGCAGAACATTATCACTTCATTATGGGTTGAAAGTAAATTCAAAGTTACCGATGAAAAAGTTTCATTTATTTATACTAATTGAAAAATTTGAGTAAAAACTTCTGAGTAGTTTCATGTATGGATAAATTCAGCGTATATAAAAATAATACTTACATTGTAATGATTCTGTAGGCGTATAGGGTAGAATTTCAGACAGCTGGATAGACATATTTATGTTTTTCTGATATTGTTCCCTCAGTGCATGACGATAGGCATCTTCGCTTAGCTCTATTTCTTTGAATCTCTTTGTCAGTTCAGATAGCTAGAAATTATTATTTTATAATATTATTAAATAATATTGAAACACAAATATAAAAATTTTTATTCTTTCAATTCAACATCACTTTTTTATCTCTAATGTAGGCAAATGTCTCCAGATCATTTTAGTGACCATGTCTATGCTAACTGTTTCAAATTGTAATTTTGGATAAACACTAAGTTGTTTGTATTCAGTACGGTAAGAAATACACTCTTCTAATTTCTTAATTTGAGATACATTCTGACGTCCTTTTATTATTATTATTATTTGTCCCGTGGGTTACTAGTGGAACATAAGGCTTCTTTAGCTCGTCGCCATTTCACTATCTTCTCTGAAGTCTTCCCAACCTGGCTCCACCACTCCACACAAGCCTTCACTTCTTAATCACACCATCTCCTACATGTCACCCTCACCTCGGACACACAACTCCTCGTTTCCTCCGTCAATTCCACTCGACAGCATGGACTGGCTTGGTGCCTGATATCCCCAAACTGTCTACTCAGTGTATGCCCAACCCAATCCATCTCCACTTTCTTCTGCATATTTCTTGGCCGAAAGAATTCTTGATTCGTTGGTCCGTTGCTAACCACCAGAGTGAGTTCCTTCTTGTTTATTCTTTCTGATCATCTATCTAATCCTCACTATCGAGTGAGGGAGTGTAGGCGGCAGCTGTTGATGAATGTGTGTAGTTTGTTGGAAATGCTTTTCGTGACGCTCCGCCAAGTCTCTCAGTCATCACATAGAAGCACTGACTGACTTGACTGGATCAGTGTTGAAAATCCGGATCTTGGTTACGCTTTATGCTGAGTGCAGTGTAGTAGATCTCCTCACTGGTTTAAGGTTAATGAAGACCTGTCTTGCTTTTACGGTCCTGGCTTTGACGTCTTCATCTGTGCCTGTGCGGCCTATAGTTGAAACGATGCTGTCTTGCCTGGATGGGTAGGTGAAAGAGACTACTTCCTTTAGATGAAGAAAAGAATAAAACATGACTCGGCTAAACATACTTTATTGAGCAGATAACATGAATAAAGAATTGCAGTTCTGCTGTAAAAGTACTGTTTACGTTGATGTTACTGCCTTCAATTATCCATCGTTGTTCGAATGAATTGACCGGCCACTATTGGTATATTGGTTAGTTTGCAGATGCCTCGATATTCTCAGCAATTTTAGTTTGATAGCGGAAAAATAAAGTGGTAGCAGACATTAAAGATGACCCACGACACACGTTTCGTCCTATTTGGGAATCGCCAGTTGGATGTGCCTGCACCCCAGTGACTGATATTGTCCTCACCGAGAGTCGAACCTCGTGTCTAACGCTTCAAACGCTAATGCATTATCCACTATGCCACGGAGGCACAATGGACACTTCTTGTACAACGGGTATCATTTATTACTATTTTATTGATATACTTGTTATTGTCCGTTGTTATATTGGATCGAATTGTTCGAGTCTCAGTTGAAACAACATTATTCACTGGGGTGTAGGTACATCCAGCTGACAAGTTCGAAATAGGACGACATGTGCGTCCTGGATTCTTCTGCTAGCCACAACCAAGCAAATTATCATAATTAACATTCAGGCAATATCAAGGCATCCTGATAGGAGCCCATATGTTAATAGATCCAATAAAACAACGGAGAATAACAAGTATATCAATAAAATAGTATTAAGAAGATCCATTGAAAGTTGAGTTATGAAGTATTCTCAATTGAATTAGGAGTTTCGATTTTGAAGTCAATAATACTAGTAAAGTGAGAACTATCCATCTAATTTTGGAGCTTTCATCATAGGCATCAAGTAATGCAGTTGATAATTGAGTAGATAATAAACGTTAGACTATGGCCAGTCCATCTACCAGTTAAAACTGGTTGAATATATTCCGGATTATCAGTTTTGTCAAAAATGTTTTTAAAATCACCTTCTTTGTTTCTAACTACTTATATAAATCAGATACAGCGTGAATTATTGTTCCCTACAGAAAGTGATAGCACTTTTCGCTGAATAATCTAAAGTATATTTGAACGACAGCTTTTGTTACTTATTACCAAATACTAGTTGATGATTCAAACTAATAGAGTAGTGCTGACAGTGACCTATGCTTGTATTACAGCTGTGGGTAATGAGCCTAATAAAATTTCCCAAAAGTAACGTAAAAGTTCCTCAGAGAAAAACATTAGGTAGTTTCTCGGCGATTAATATTCTTAAAATAAAACTTTAATCCCAGCATTCAGACGGCTTGAAATAACTTCAACGTTAGATGATTGGGGACTATCAGCAGAAAGCTATGAAGCAAGGGATCAATAAAACTTATATCTGTCCGTAAATTTAAACCCGCGTTACTTAGATGTGACCAACAGCTGCTACTTTGACGTGGTGGTCGGGCTTGTATAGCATGATGACCCGGCGGGTTATGCTGGTCGAACGCTTGTCCCCTCGAGCTCTAACCATACTGCAAAGGTCTATTGGATAATGATTAGACAAAAAGCAGTCACCATTAACATGTTATCAAAAGACGATGATCCATTATGGTGGCTTATTAGTGATTAGTGGTGATTCAGAACCACAGGAAGTATATCTGACAGCGTCTCTACCTTAACACAGGCCAATTGTTGTGGCATGAAAAAGGCCGTAAGTAACCGGTCTCAAACAGATGTCCCTGAGCCCTGCGATAACGCATTAACACCTCTTTTCCATGCGCCTCAAGATGACACAACCTTCCATATCGTGGGCAGCCGTGAAGTGCCCGACCGCCCTTATAACTCTGTCAGCACTCAAGTTCCCGAGGACCACTATCCACCTCCCTAATCATTACCTTCTAGTCTTACTTCGCATCCCTCAGTTAAAAATCCTACAGCGTCTTTAATCTCTTCTAGATCTGCAGCTTTTAACAACGATCTGAGTTTACAGAACACCATTCTTTTTCTCTTTGAATCACTCTCCAATTTACACATTGGAGCCTTCTATGTCTTCACCTTCCATCAAACTGGCCGATAAGCTTCGCTGACTAAAACTCTAGCAACTCGGGTCATGGATGTGTGCCACATTTGTGAGACACTTGCAGGACCCAAGTGAGGTTATTCACTTAACCGCTCCCAGTGGGGTCAACCAGTCAAAAGTGAAGCAGATGCCAGCTGAAGACGTCTAGTGATAGTCGCGGTAGATCGCGAGTTGACAGAAGTAGGAAACTGTGAACTGTTGAATTCCAACCAAGTAGCTGAATGGCTAACGCGTTCGTCGTGAAGCCTGAAAGTCCTGAGTTCGATCCCTAGTCGGGTGGTAGGTGTGTACTGCTGAGGACTCCCATACTAGGACGAAGTAGGTGCTCAGTGCTCCTAAGTTCTCAGTGGTTCTTTAACTGATGTCAGTCCATGATGAACACTATCTTAAAATAATATAGCAATGATTACAAGAAATTCATTTACGCCGTATAAAGTAGGTGGCTAGCTGCACAAAAATGTAAGAAGCACACGCTTCAAAACTGTGCTAGCCAATATATAATCATAACAAAGATCATTATCTTCGGATTTAGATATGCATACAAATATCACTCAGGACATCAAGGTTTACTCAATTATCAATACGTTTGTTTCGAATACGTACTGTTAGAATAGTTTTCACAAGAAATAGTGCAGTACACGACAGTCATTTCATTTTATTTCTATGTTCTTTAGTAGTGTGTGTAGTGTGAAAGCTTCAGATGAGAACATTCAGTTCTCTTGACTGCACATTTTATGCTGAACTGTCGTATAAAAGGTCAATGATAGTTATTTAGTGATCTTAGTTCATGGCATAGCCCGACTATAGTTAAAGGTCACTGGTGAGTAGTTAGTTTCTTGATGACACTTACTTCAAGTATTCGATAAGTTATAAATTCATAAAATCGATCTATGGTGCAAATATGCACTTGAAAGTAAGTCAGTCACACAAGGTGTGCTTCTAGTGGTAGTCTGAGTTTTTATTTTCAGTTATATTGATGTTACCTTAGTATGTTTTACCGTAGAAAGGATTAGTTAATGCTTGGACAAATCAGTAAATTATGTCAATCTTCTGTTCAAAAGAACTATGTCAATAGCTCGGGTTGGTTTTTTTCATCGCTACCTCAACAACAAATTTCCCCCTATCCATCTTACTTGCCATTCCTTTAAGTGGTAAACTTTCGATGAATTTTATTATTTTTTTATGTAAGCCATTCGTTATTCCATAGGTTAGTGTGTCTACCAACCCAGAGAAACTGCATTATAACCTATGTCACAACATATCTGTTAACATTCAGCAGTATAACGCATAACGTCTTAATTTTCTGTGTATGACTATGAAAAGATTGAAGGGTTTAAACTTCTATTAGCCTTCAAATGGTGATAGGTTGAACTTCCAGTGCGTCAAAGTTCACATTATTTCAACTAATGAGTGCACACTGTGATGACGATTCTCTTTAGAAATAATGACATTCAAAAAATTACTCACCTGAATGTGCAGTCAATTTAACTTATGTAAGACACAAATCTGTCGATCTAATTAACTTCTGTTCCTTAACTACTTAATAATAATAATAATAATAATAATAATAATAATAATAATAATAATAATAATAATAATAATAATAATAATAATAATAGCTTTATTTTGAACAAGACTCGTGGTACAGCGAGGAATTCTTAGCATGTATTAGTTCATTAACAAGAACAAGGCATGTATCAGGGAAGAAATATTTCTTTTCAACGACTTCATTATTATCCTGTAGTCGTATTTACACCCAGTAAAGTGACAGTGACAGTCAATATGTAAAATATACAATCGGTGTAGATGGTGGTATTTGTTCAAGTGGAACAGATAGAAAATGGGTCATTGAAAAAGGAACGAATTATAACAAGTGGTGAGATAAGCGACAAGTGCTGTCAAAGAATTGTAAAACGGTGATAGTTAAGCTGAAAGGTATACAATAGGTCAATGATTAAGGAATGAATTAATATTAAAGAGTGAAATACGGTTCAAGTGTTGTCAATGAAGTGAAAATTGGTGATAGTGGTGATAATAGAAGAGAAGTTTACCAAAGTGAACTGAAAATTTACAAAATCAACAAAATGAATTGTTAAGGCCAAGGTAGAGAAAATGGTTTCACAAAACGTTTTTGAATGCAAAGTTCCGGTTTTTGTTCAAGTATAGATAATGCTTCAGCTATGCGTAAGTGGTGGAAACGTAAACCTCTGGAGTAGTTCAATTTAACTTTGTAAATTATTTTAAAGGATGAATCTCGAGGTGATGAGTGTCCCTATTCAACAAGGTGTTCACATATGGATGAAGTCGTTTTCCTTTGCTCGCCTCTGGTAAGCCATACAGGGTAGTGTTCGGCAACACCTTTTCGGAAAGCCCGCTCACAACGTCCAATATAGTCAGCTCCACAGGAGCATGTGAACTTGTTGATACACGCAGAAGTGGATATAAGTGGAAGCCTATCCTTAACGCATTGACGAATCAGACGGCGGCTGGAGAATATCAATCTCAGTTTAGCAGCATAGAAGCTACTATTGATACATCTTGACAGACGATTTTTCAGCACTTCGGCTGTGGTGTCTCCTTTGAATTCTAGATTCATGGTTAAAATTTCCTTAGGGACTGTAATGGGATGACGAGTGGTTTGTTTCTTCAGATTCTTATCAATAAATCTCTTAGGGTATCCTTTATTAGATAGTATTATTCTCAGAGTTTCGATTTCAGCATCCACCGTATCTTTTGAACATATCCCATAGATTCTGGAACACAGTGAGTGAATGAGATTTCTCTTACAACCAAGAGGTACCCAACTATCAAAGTTAGTGAAATGATCGGTCCAAGTTGGTTTTCGATAGACTGACCTTTGAATCGAGCCATCATCCCTTCTCTTTAACATTACGTCTAGAAAGTGGAACGATGAGTTTAACTCTTCCTCTACAGTGAATTTAATGCAGGGGTGACAATCATTGAGACTTCTTAGCAGCTCGTCGACTGAACATGTTTCGTCGCAAATGAGAAAAGTGTCGTCGATGTATCTTTTATACAAATAGAGTTCTGAAATTATTTCTTTAAGTGGCCTGTTTTCAAGCTTTGCCATAAAGATATCCGCCAGGATAGGGCCTAGTGGAGACAACACTTGAACCATATTTCACTCTTTAATATCAATTCATTCCTTAATCATTGACCTATTGTATACCTTTCAGCTTAACTATCACCGTTTTACAATTCTTTGACAGCACTTGTCGCTTATCTCACCACTTGTTATAAATTCGTTCCTTTTTCAATGACCCATTTTCTATCTGTTCCACTTGAACAAATACCACCATCTACACCGATTGTATATTTTGCATATTGACTGAGTAACTTTTTAGTGCAATTATCTTTCACTTTACTGAGTATAAATACGACTACAGGATAATAATGAAGTCGTTGAAAAGAAATATTTCTTCGCTGATACATGCCTTGTTCTTGTTACTGACTAAATGGGTATATTTCGTCACATGTATTAGTTCAACAAATTCATTCCCTGTGCAGTAACTTTAAACGAAATAGTCGTTGCCTTTGAATGTTAATAATAACAATAATGGTAATAAAGGCTACAATATGAAACAGGCACCTGGTATTATATTGGCAACTGATTTGGACTGGTAAATGAATAGATGATCGATCGTACTTTTAGTAGTGATAGCTTATTAGGCTAGTACTAAAACTTGAAACACGTTAAAGTTATCCAAGGAATAGTAATATACTGTAATGCTGTGCATTTATATATCTATCTCTTACCTGAGTGTCTTTTATTCTTTGTTTTGTTGTTAGCTTGAAAAATGACAGTTTAAAACCATTTAAAAAGTGTTCAAGAGTACATGACGCGTTTAAAAGACATTAAAAAGAATAAAACAAATTGAAAAGGAAGAATTTAATCAAATCAATTCGGTAGCCCAAAGTTTAACCAGGCTGCCGTTCCTTACAGTGATAACATTTAACTTGCAAAGAATTAATGAAAAATATTAAATGTTGGCCAATGTGATGGACACAGATTACACATTTTTTGAGCTGGTAGTTTCATATCTGCCTAGAAGTTGGGATTTAAACTCTCCATCTAATCATCATTAGTGTTCAGTTGATGATAAACTTTGCTCGATAGCTTGGGTAACATAACTGGCAGTATTTAGTATGGCTGGTTATAATTTATATTATTTAGCATATAAGTTGACGATAAATCCCAACAATATTTTGTGGTATATACAAAAAGAGTAAACGAAAGAAACTTTTGGGTCAATCAGTCAAGACATAAACACAGGATCACAGTTAGGTCTTGAATCATTTATACTGTGTATAACTGTGATAATAATAAAAACAACTATGATTTCCAGTTAGTTTAAAGTTCACTTTTATTCCCTATTTTCTGAATGGAAACTAGAAAAAATAAGTTCATACCTACATTTAACACCTACCTCACATTTACACTTTAGAAGTTGCCGTTGAATACCGACAGCAGTTCGAGCACATTTACAAGCTACTTCAGCTTCTTTGTTGCACATGCATTTCAGTGGGACAGATATTTCACGAATATTTGGACTTCGATATGCAAATGGAATAAAATCACATTGACTTTCTTTTTCAGTAAAAGTAGGTTTAACTGTTTGTTGTTTATAACTTTGAAGCATTTTATCTGATCCAGAAGAACGTAAGCGACTGAAGAATGATTGAAATTTATTCTGAGATTCTGGAGTTTTTTTTAATGTTGTTTTCATAACGGGTACTGGAATCTGTCTTTCGTTTAAGCATGGCTTTGACTGATTTTGAAGTAAATAAAGTACAGCTTCAGATGTCAGTGGGGCATCTTGATCAGCTAGCTTTTGTAATGAATTTTCATCTAAATATATTTCAGAGATTTTATCTGAATTCATATCTTCCAATGACCCTACAACTGATTCTTCACATGAAGGTGTACAACTTAGACTTGTGTTTCTCTGCAAAAGATCTGTGATAAAAAAAGGAAAGTCTTAGTAAGAAAAGGAAAAGATAGTCAACATAATAATTTATTTGGTGGCCAACAGTGAAATCCAGGACTGGCGTTCCACCCTATTTGGGACTCATAAGTCAGTTGGATGTACCTACACCCCAATGAGTAGTGCTGTTCTCGCTGGTATGTCCAAGAGGATACTGCTTTGGCATTTGAAGCGATGGCTGCTGGGTTCGAGATTAGGTAGGAACATTACTCACTGGGGTGTAGGCGCATCCAGCTGACGAGTCCCAAATAAGATGAAACGCACGTCTCGGATTTCACCACTGTCCAACAAAAAGACTACAATATCGAGGCATCGGCATAGGAATCCAACTGCTAACAGAGGTTAACCGAGTATGAAAACGGTAAATCACAAGTAACAATAAATAATAGTCAGTATTAATTGTGAATTCAAATTGGTTTTGTTTTACGAGGTCGAATGAGGCTTAGTGCTTTGATGTTAAGGACTTTCAAAATCAAAACCTTTTTCCAACGCAAAAAGTTATTACTTATCGTAATAATGGTCTAAATATGGAATCCTATGGAGACTTTCATACCGCTGGTTATTATGTAGTATCTATGCTTCCAAAATTTCTTATCCGCACTTTATAATCTCAGATACAGGATACTGACGCAAATGGCCTTGAGAACGGACTTCGTCAGATTATCTACATGGTTATTTTTGTTTTTCTACGCAAACGATCATTCTGCATATAAAATATAAATGACCTCAGTGCAGTGCAACAAGCACACTAAGATTATTCGTTGCTTTGATAGAGATGTTTTCTTCTAATAACAATCGATGAATTTTAGAAATCAACAGCAAAGTAGCCGATGTAACACATTCGAAAGTTACTCATCAAAAAAAAATTCATATTTCATTTAAACTATTTCCACCTGTTATATTTTCAATAAGTAGAACTTATAAGACAATGTGAAGTGCATTGCATTTATATTTTACATATAAAGTCTGAACATTTGCTCCGATATGCTGAAGATGTGGTTGGTATGAGTTTGACTATCTAAGACAGCTATTATTATTATTTATTATTATTAGTCCCTTGGGTTCCTAGTGGAACATAGGGCTTCAGTAGCACGTCTCCAGTGATCTCTGTTCTCTGAGATCTTTTGAACCTGGTTCCACGACAGCCCACAACCTCTCATTTCCTCCTCGCACGACATCCTCCATGTCACCCTCGGACGTCCAACTCGTCACTTCCCATGGGGATTCCACTCGAGTAACTGGCCTGACGCGTGATGTCCTCAGTCGGCCTTCTCAGTGCATGCCCAATCCATCTCCACTTCTTCCTGCATATTTGTTGCGTGATAGGTTCTTGGTTGGTTCGTTCCCAGAGTTCCTTGCTGCTTATTCTTTCTAGCCATCTGATCTTCAGTAGCGAGCCAGCGTAAGCAATTATTGATGAATGTCTGTAGTTTATTGGAAATCCCTTTCGTAACGCGCCAAGTCTCTGAACCATACAGAAGCACTGACTTGACGTTGGTGTTCAAAATCCGCATCTTGTTCCACATGCTGAGTGCAGTGCAGAAGATTTCCACACTGGTTTCAGGCTAATCAACACCTGTCTTGCTGTCTTTTCCGATTCTGACTTTGACATCCTCGTTTGTGCCACCACCTGTAGTTGAAACAGTGCTTCCTAGATAAGTGAAGGAGGTTACTTCCTTTAAGTTTCTCCCGTTGATGGTGACTGGAGTTTGTTGTTGTTGTTGATGGTGGTGGTGCGGTATCTTCATCACTTCTGTCTTCTCTATATTCACCTGAAGTCCCATCTTCGCTGCCTGTTCTATCAGCTTGTTAGTTTTTGCCTGCAGATCTTCAAGTTTATGTGACATCAGACACAAGTCATCGGCGAAATCCAAGTCTTCTAGGTTCTTTTCCGCTGTCCAGTCAGCGTATCCCCCTCTTCTCGCTGCCTACTGTTTGCTGCATGATCCAGTCGACCACAATCAGGAATATCATGGGGGATAGTAGGCGGCAACCTTGTTTCACTCCTGTCTTCACTTCACTTCAAAAGCATCACTGAGCTTTCTATTGTGAATTACTTGGCTGGCATGTGGCATCTTCATATAGTTGTTGAATGAGGCGGATAAAGGTTTGCAGTATTCCGTAATATTGAAGCAGTTTCCAAATTACCTCTCGGTCGACGCTGTCAAAGGCCTTCTCAAAGTCGATAAAGTTGAGGCAAGGTAGAGAGTTGACTGTCATTCTATACTCTGTTCTATGATGATGCGAAGTGTTGCAATTTGGTCTGCACATGATTTGTACTTCCTGAATCCAGCCAGCCAACCTGTTCCGGTCGTAGTTTTCAATCCAGTGCATCCTTTAGTCTCCCGAGATGATGCGGCTTAATATTTTACTTGGAGTGGACAGGAGAGTGATTCCGCACCAGTTCTGCAAACACTGAGGTCTCCCTTCTTCGGCAGTTTCACAAGGTAGCCCTTCTTACAATCAATGGCCAGGTACCTTCCCTTCCTCCCATACCTTCTGTAATAGTGGTGCGAGCATGTCCGCTGTTGTCTCTGCGTCTGTTCTCAGTGCTTCTGGCGGTATCCCATCTGGTCCTGCTGCTTTCCCGCATTTCAGTAGCTTTATGGCGTTCAGGACTTCCATTTTTGTTGGAGGATTTATGTTCACTTGTAGTTCAGCGGCTGCAGGTGGTATTTCTGGACGAAGTGCAGGTGGTGGTGGTCGATTCAAGAGCTTCTTGAAGTGGTTGGCCCATTGTTTCCTTTGTTTCTCTTCTTTCGTAACTAAATTCCCGTCATCATCTTTTATTGGTTTCGTCTGCGTTGATCTCCCCCCAGATAGCAACCTGGTTATTTGATACAATGTTGTCAGGTTTCTGTCTCTCTTACCTGCAGCCTGTTCTGCTTCACTTGCCAGTGTTTCGTAGAAGTGTCTTTTGTCTTTCCGTGCACTCTTCTTCACTTCTTTCTCCAGTGTTTTATACATTGTACTCAGTTCCTCTTGTCGTTGAGCATCCTTGCACTGGTTTATCTTCTGCTTCACCATCCTCCTCTCCCTCCTCTATCAGCTTCCAGGTATCCGTCGAGACCCATTCCTTGTCTTCTTTCTTCTTCCTTCCTAATACGGCTGTGCAGGTTTCTTTCCACATCTCTTTCAAAGACTTCCAGTGTTCTTCCACACAGGTTTCTTCAGGGATGTTCCTCGATATCTCCCACTTTGTCTTGATGGCTGCCGTGAAGATCTCCTTTGTAGTTTCATCCTTCAGTTTCCGAGTGTTGTACTTGAACTGCGGTCTATCACCAGCTTCATTCAAGGCTTTTAACTTGATTTGGAAGGTTCCTTGAACTAAGTAGGGAGTGGTGTGAATCTACATCTGCTCCTCTTCTTGACCTTGTGTTAAGTAGACTGCGTCTCCATTTTTTGCTTGAGATTGAGATAAAGTCGATTTGAGTTTTAGTGTAGTGTGTCTCGGTGTCTGGTGAAATCCATGTCGCTTTGTGGATATCCTTGTGCTTGAACACAGTGCCTCCCTCCAATCACCAAATCGTTGAATGCACAGAGTTCTGCAAGCAATTCTCCATACTCGTTCATCACCTCACCGAGCGCTTCTCGACCCATGGTTAGTTCTCTTCCTGTGTTATCCCCTCCCAGTTTGGCATTCATGTCGCCCATTAGAATTTTGATATCGCCAACTGATGTCTTGTCCAGTGTTGATTGAAGTTGTCTGTAGAATTCCTCCTTTTTCTCTTGCTCTGCATTATTTGTAGGTGCATAGCATTGTATGATTGTGACCTTCCTTCCTTCCTTTTGAGTTGAATCTTGCTGTCATGATCCTGATGCTGGAGGAGATTGGTTCCCACTGCATGAGAGCCTTCGATGCTCTTGAGGACATCATGATAGCCACTCCATAACTCAGTGTGCTCGTGGTTGTCGTCTGGTTGACGATATCGGAGTAGATTATTGATTCTCCAGTTGACAGTTTGAGACTACACTCCCATTCCATCTGCTTTCGCAAATCCCAAGCACTTCGATGTGATACCTTCTCATCTCCTTTGCAATCTGGGCTGCCTTACTGGGTTCAAACATCGTGCGGACATTCCATGTCCCCACGTTTACTTTCGCTTTCATCGAGATAGAGATGACACATCGGTCAATTGGCTTCCCGAAGGCTTTCACCAACTGGCTTCATTTCGCCTCTCCGATTCCAGAGAGGAATAAGTTTGTTTTTATTTTTTATATTTTGTTTGTGCTTTGAAGTTTCTTTAGCGGTTAGAATTGTTTTCCGGGGTAGGGTTGCTAGCCCTATGCCCAACCTTCCCTCTTTACCCGGGCTTAGGACCGGCTAGTAACTAGTGAACTAGTTAACCAGCTATGGTTTGACGGAATCTGACAACCAGGAGATCACAGATTAGCATTCTGCTGCGGCCTAGATTTTCATTTTACCTTCAATTATAGCACACTGTCAATATGCCAGGCAGTTTGCGAAACTCCTGTCTAGTAGACTGATTCTTAAGTCATTAAGTTGCTGCTGAAATTCACCACAAATATTGACTTTCTTGCAGTGAAACGATTTAACAGTCTTATCAATTCTTAATAAAAAATAGTGGTATAAGCTGGTTAAATCATTTATCATGTTATGCTAAATATATAAGCAAGATCATTTAAAAATGACCACTGAGCGAAGCCTAGCTGGTAAAACGTTATCAAATATTTTATGATATTCGCTGCATAAAAATTCACAAATGTCTAAAGGTTTTATGAATGAAAAATCATCGGCGGATGCGTATGATTCAGGAGTCCCAGATAGAAAAGTCTGTTCAAAATTATCTTATTATATGATTTTTATTGGTTGGTAATGAGAATGAAAATATATTAATATTGACTACAAAACATTATATGCTAAATAGTCTTTCGGATATACTAATTCGAATGAATCAGTCAAAAAAATGTAGATGATACATTCTTGATTGTGAATAACGAGAGCGATGCAAGGATTATATTGGATAAATTCAATAGCGTCCATCCAGTGATAACCTTCACCATTGAGACAGAAAGTGACAGCAGCATCACCTTCTTAAATGTCCGATTGACAAAGATGGTGGATGGTGGATGGAACTATGAAAAGAAGTGTATATCGGAAATCAACGTCAACAGGTCAATACACTCACTTCTTGAGTTTCGTCCCTTTGCAATATAAACGAAATCTAGTTAAATGTTTGGTCCATCGGGCTAGACTCATCTGTTCAGATGATACTTTTGATGAACAGTTTCAAATTATTCATGAGCTACTCAATAGTAACGGATATCCAGAAACTTTTCCGACTAAAAATATAGACACATCCAATATGAAAGCCAGAATACCTACAGTCTCCAAGAAACCATTGTTCATAAGACTACAATTTCAAGGTGATATCATCAGCGAAATTGTGGCACAACGCTTAAGAAATGCCATAAGAAAATCATTTAATGTCGCAAAGTTATGCTATGTATTCTACGGTCGGCCGATGATGACCATGCGAACTAAAGACGGACTACCTGACTACTCCTCTTATATGTGCATTTACCAGTTCAACTTCTCCTGTGGAGCTAGTTACATTGGACGTGTAGTTAAGCAAGTCCGTCGTCGAATTGCCGATCATCACTTTTCATGGCTAAGTAAGGGGCAAATCAGATCGATACGAAGCTCAATACTCTCTCATCTGGTTGACATTGGCCATCGAGTTAACATTCATAATGCCTTTAAAGTTATTTATCACATTCCTTCTAACCTCACCCATGCTCTATGAGTTCATCTTTTACATACAGCAGAAGCCATAAAGAATCCACCTAAACAAGCCAAGTCTGTGTGTCCAGAAGAGATTCGTACAGCCTCTTTCTTTGCCTTGGACATCTGTATAGCTCATTTATTACAACAAGACTCTTCATTTCATTCATTACACAATTGACTATAACTTATTTTAACAGCTCTATTATTGTTATTATTATTATTATTATTATTATTATTATTATTATTATTATTATTATTACAGATATAGCCCTATTGTCCCTAATTACCGTCAACAATTTACCACTTAACAGTTCACTTTCGCTCTTTAGTTACCATTATACAAAATATCAAAGGAAGGCCTAACTATCCAACCAACCTGGACAGTATTCCCAAAAACAAAAACAACACATCACACACAATGAGCTGGTCAAAAGTACATACATGCAAACAAACCAAATTTTGTCATGCATATTATTTATTTATTTTTTCACACCCAGTCACATATACACATACTCATATCTCCTTAAACTCCTGACTAATTAACTCATAAACAAAAGCAAATTGTGAACTGCACGCTGGTCAGCATGACGATGACATTCACATTCGTATTATCATCATGTATAGACAATGTGATCTAATTCATCACCTTTTACCATTTAAACTATTCGATAACTTGTACAGGTTTTGTTCTCTGAAGAAGAGATTTCCATGAAGTCGCGAAACGTCAGAAATTTATTTTTCTACTTCATTGGGATTTTACAAAATATATTTCATTTATAATCCAATTACCCAATGCTCAACTTATTCAACTCTGAAACATGTGATGTATTAGCGCTATACATTTCGAACAATCTGATCACACATGGACTTGTCGAACTATTTATATGAAAATTTACGAAAAGGTCAATGAAGTTAATAGGAGACATAGGAATAGGAAGGGATAGCGCTAATACATCACATGTTTCAGATAATCTTCGTCTTCTCATTACGCTGTTTAAATTTATCAAAGGGACCAGTTGCTTTAAATTATTCAACTCTATCAGATCAAATTTTGATCCTGAAGTTTACAAAAATATGTAAGAACCTGTTTAAAATTTCACAAAATCTTTCTACTATAACTAATCTATGCTTTAGTTAATTGTCTTAATTACCTGATCAATTATCACCTTTTTCATACTTTGAGATTGATAACCTTTCATTAAACAACTTTCACCACTAGATTGGTATATAGTTTTACGTTGTGAAAATGCTACATTAGTGTACAGCCATTGATGAGGAACAAAATTGAAAAAAAATATTTCTTTGCTCACATTGTTTGTTTTACTAAATATTTCAAGTTGTTATTCATCGAAGACTGACATCAGTTGGAGGAACAAAAGAAACCTGGGAGCACTGGACAGCTGTTTCGTCCTAGTATGGGACTCCTCAGCAGTGCACACCCACGACCCCACCATCAGGGATCGAACCCGCGACCTTCAGGTTCCGCGACCAGCGCGTTACCATTGAGCCACTGGGTCAGACTCCAATGCTCCATATTTCCAACTTCTGTTAGCTAACGATATAGCGCAAACCGCCACCCAATGTCATCGTTGAGTATTTGTCCTCACGGCCATCAGGCTTGACTCCACTGGTCACGACTTGTCATTGGAACTTCGGGAATACTTCTCGAAGCTAGTCACCAACGAGCACTAGTTCAATTAAATTTTGTTCCTCCAACTGATGTCAGTCTTCGATGAATAACAACTTGAAATATTTCCAAATCTCCACAACCCCCTCAAAATGTTTTACTAAATGTCTAGATGGGAATTTTTGCATTACTGAAAAGAATAATAAACTTAATTGTTTTAACGTCCTGAAACTATTCACTTTCAACATCCAGCAAGAAAAGCTCAATGGGAAAAACCTATTAATGGTTCTGTAAGTAACATAAACTACTTGCTACTTGCACTGATCCGTAACACATCCCCCTGAGTGTCAAAGCGACTTTTCTTGCCATCAACATCTCGCTAATTAAAGTGAATTATAAAAGCTAGACAAGAACATAAGGAAAAAATGGTTATCTGGAATAACCTCCTATATTTCCTTTTACAAGAAAACATGCATGATTGATGCAAGATTTGCTTGAATAAATTATAGCCCCCCAAATATGGAGTACAAATCAAAGCTCAATCTTACAAATCGACATATTTTTAAAGGATACCCAAGTAAAACTCTATATTTAGTACTGGCACAGGAAACCAGTCAACCAACAGAAAAGCAAACTGGGTATTTCGTCACTTCAGGTTGTTTTATTTCAAAATAACAAAAGAATAGCAGAAGCAAAAGCATATTTTAAATTAAAATAATAAAAGGAAGATACATGAATATGAGGAATGAATAAAGATATACTGCTTATTTGGTAAATTCGAAGAGTGATATTAAAAATTACGTCAATGAGATCAATTTTGAGGCATTTCACTTTGAGACTTTCAGGATCTTATTGAAAACACGGCCTGCTTAAACTATGGGCTACTTCATTTTACCACGGATTATATTGCATCAAATTTCTCCTTTCTACACTGCTTTGGCCATATTATATTATGTATCACATATATATGTTATATACAATATATATTATATGTATATATTATATATAATATACACTATCTATTATGTGTTTATATATACTACATACTCTCGCGTTTTTAAAATCACTACAACCAGTCGCTATACAGTTTGATAGCTAAATTGAGGAAAAACACCAGGGTGGATAACAATGGCCTCTCAAGCGTATCACTATTCTGGAAATTCCAGAAACCGCTTACCAACTTTGCGAAAATAAATAATCTCTGGATAATAGTTTACCTAACAATGTGAAATATTCCTCGTTATTACTAGTTGTTTCATAAACTGGTATATTAACACTATTCTAAACGTTGTAAAGGAGTATATATTCATATATATTTTTTAATTTGTTGCTAAAAATTGCGAATTGTACCAAAACATTATTATTCTGAATAAACTGAGTATTGTTATCATCATTATATTAACTAACAAATTTTAAATTAATAGTCATTTGTTTTATGAATTTATGCAATTTTCACTCTGAAATGGGTTCTAGCTTGCTTTAACTTGCGAAATTTCATGAAAAATGTGTATGAAAAGCATCTATCGCAATCCTCTTCAAAAAAAAATTCAAGGGATTTCTTATTCTTTTTGAAAATAGTATATGTAACTTAACTACTTGTTATAAAGTGTTTGCAGTACAAATGATTGCCTACATGTAGTTTCATACTGTTTACTTCCTATAGATATGCCATATTAATGTATTGCACTTAGAACTGGGAGCATATCTAACACATCAAGTGTGGCTTACATTCCAGTATAGTGAGAGAAAATTAGTATAATATCAGGCCATTATCTTAGGCTGGATATTACCAAGTCAAATATGTGAGTGTCTTCATTTCGATATCTTTAAACAGCCTAGTAACATTTCGTATTTCTTCGCTTTAATTGTCCCTTCGTTTCTCTAGTCTAAATATGAAAATTCATAGTTACGGCATCTTAGAATAATATAACATCGGAAGAATTACTTTCAAAAATTGTTACTTAAAGAAGTTTTATAGATGAAAAGTTAACTTTTTTTCATCAGAAGGAAGGAAATATGACAACTCTGTTAATTTAAATTCAATAACATACGTAAAAAGAAACTGTTCTGTTACATACGCATATTTTCTTCTAATAATTGGCCAGTTTTAAGTTGTAAATTTTCCAACTGTCTCATAAGATTCTCATTTTCCATTTGTAATCTATATTTGAATTGAATTGAATACAAATTTATATAAGTTTAGTGGTCATATTTTTTTCAGTACAATACTATGCATATACACGTAGTAGAAAATAGAAACATAGTTATTTCCTCATGAGTTGATGATGACCAGTTGTCAGAGTATAACTCATCTCAGAAAAATTATATTATAAATGCTGCAGAAGAGTCGTCTTGAAGATCACCTTAGCAATTATTGAATTAATAAGTAAGGTTTCTTAATTTCATTTGGAACATAAAATACTTTATTTGATTCATTGCTGTAAACAACGTTTTCGTCATTTAAGTTGCCCGGATGCGACTAATATATACAGGATACTCTTCCATATGTCATAACACTGCTGTGGATGTGATAAAGATAGTGCAATTTAGAACCTGTATTTTTGTTTGTTGGTCCGCTTCAACTGACTACTTCTAAACCTCGTGTTAGACCAGTGTTTTCAGTGAAACTTGGAGTTACCAACCACTGATCGGGATGTTGGACAGACTAGACTAATAAGTTGTCAAAAATTCCCATTATGAAATTTGTGACAAAACAATACTTTTTTCAATTATATCTCATCAGGCTTCGCTTTGATATACATAACTTTCAAAATATTTATAAAATATGAACCAATCAAGGTCATTTTCGTGTCAATGATAACCAGGATCGTGTCCTTTAGAATAATAAAATTAGTGACAATATATTGGATGATATGAATGTTCGGAATGACACGATAATGTAAACAAGTGTTCTGGCAGACAGATAAAGTAGGCCAAAGCTTGGTGAAGGACAGTAAGGTTGCATAAAACTGGAGGAGGAAGGTACTGAATAAATGAAGTCTGAATGTGAATATAGGAGTGTTGTGTAACGGCTGATCAAACTAAAATAAAAAGAGGAGGAAGTTCGTCTTAAAATTCATAAATATGGTCATTCATTAAATTTTCCCTGGTTAAGGCAGACATGAAGCCTGTACAGTTTTCTTCTGAATACAGAGCATCAAATTATTCATTCGAATTATTATCACCTCAAGTATATGTGCAAGATGAGTTCGAACTCCATCAGAAAGCTTTAGTGGGATGTGATAAATCACTTTTAACGCTTTCCCTGTATGCACTCTGTAACCACTATCAAGTAGATGCCATAAAATCGAGCTTAGCATAGCTTTAACTTGTCCTCTTCCCAGTCACGAAGGTAGGTGTCCGGCAATAAGTTGGTTAAGCTGCCTAGTCGGACGCCAAATACTACTGTCTCCACAGCAGCAATTAAACTGCTAAGTATACATCAAAGTAGCGAAACTAGGTAACTTGTCCTTCATTTGGCAAGAAACAAATCATGGACTAGAAAACAACAAACAGACATTAGCTCCACTAAAAGTTCTTTCAACCGTTTTAATACTACCACTAATTTTATTAGTCTATATTACACAATCAGTTTTCTTGTTATCATTGCCCCACAAATTACCTTGATTGGTTCTCATTGCATATATATATATATATATATATATATATATATATATATATATATACATATATTGGAAGTTATTCATATTAGAGTGAAGCCTGGTGAGATCTAATTGAAAACAATATTGTTCGTTTATCAGCAAATCTAATCAAACGGATAAATGTAAATCTATACTAGAACTAGTTTTGTTCTAACCACTGGCTGAATGAATAGAATCGACTAGCATTTGCTTATTTATATGTTCATTCTATGACTTTCTCATTATTGAAGTCTGATGCATTGTGTTAACATTGCTTGAACGATGGCTGGTTGAATAAGCCATCATGTAAAATGGTTCAACCCGTCAGTATGTAAAATAGCAGTGAAGCACTCAGAAAATAAGAATATTTACTATCAAAGAATGAATAAAAAAGTTATACTAAATGAAATCCAAACTCTAGCTCTTACAGTATAACAATAAATTATTCCTTTTGTATGCGAAATGATGGCACCATTATACACTATGCAAATAAATTAATGATCAAGATTCTGTTCTAAGACTGTATAGTATTTTTAAGTTTGGATTCTGCTCTAATTGTTAAGCCAAATTTACAGGGTACAGTGATGTACTATGCAGGGTTTTGTATATTCTATTTTTAAATATTTACTAGTCCTATTTTAACCAAATCTAACCGCCTTCCACTCTGACCAATATCTTCTCTCCTCTATAATTAGCAGAAACGATACTCAAAAGGCGACAACGAAGATGTAAAGTAAACATTTCGCCTACATATAAAATATCAGTATTAATAACTACAGTAAACTCAAGTAGAACAGTCGAAAGCAAATAGAAATTATGATATTACTTACTGTTGGATTTTTGCTTCAAATGATTGGCATTGTGATACCAAAGCACCTTTGCTTAATTCAAGCTGTATTTTTAGTCTTTCAGTTTCCTGAAGTATAAGTAGACAATAAAATTGAATGCCATTTATCATAAAATTTAAATACCTATAAATGTTTAATTGTCCATTATAAGTTAGTGAACTATTCGTAAGAGGAAAGAATAACTTGAGACTGAAAGAAAGATAACAACAGAATGGAAATTAGTAACTTGTCTGCATATGTTCATTGATTTTATGAAATAAAAGATCAACTTTGCCTTGAACTTTAAGACATCATTCAGAGATACTCAGGCTTGATGGTTTAATGACGTTTACTCATTAAGGATCATCAAAAAACAATTAAATACAACAGAGATATGTTGAAAAGAACATTTGACAGACATATTAGGAAATGTGAGTTGAAGAGAATGTCACTACACATACCAAGGCAGAGAATGTTTTGGCTAAATTCAGACTGGAAATTGGAAAACATCTGTCAGATTAATGGACATGAGGTTAAGCAGAAAAATAAATATAGGTTATTTCTCAAAGTTAATAATAACACACCGCAGAACTTTGTGAACAGTACAACGGTAATCTTACCAGTCAGTATGAAAGTTTTAACTAATCACTAATGATGGATTACCTTACTGTTTGGGTCTTTGGAATAGTAGTCAAAAATAGCTGGTGATTGCTAGCAAATTTATGATACATGAATATCACAAATTACTGTGTATAATACCAGAGGGTTAATATTGGAAATCCGCTGTAGGGATCAAAAGATGTATGACTAAGAAAAGTAATGCTTAATAGGAAGGTTGGATAGTGGCAAATATTGTAATCCAGCTCACGGGTTTCGTACCATTTGAGGTTCATAATGTGGATGCATCTTCCTCTCACTGGCTGATCTTTTTCCACCAAGATTTGAAACAACCAGTAGTAATATCAAAAACTATACCTATTGCCCAAACAATAGCTATCATGATTAAACGGCCTAGCCAGTTACGCTCTGGTGTTTGAAGTGCAGAATTCTGTATGCCAGTAGCGGCTGATGGATTCGGTCCAACCAACGACTGCAAATGACAAGTAATAATATCAGATGTAATGTTGGTTTTTTCTTTGAAAATACTTCCATATAGAGAGGAACGATACTAGAAATTTCAAAGCAATGTTTAAAAATGCTCATAAATTAGACTACTCAAATAAGTCGCTTTAGTTCTATACACTCAAATGAATATGAAAATATATTGGCTAGATATTTCTGCTTTGTTAATCTCAAATCTTAAACAATATTATTTTAAAATTACTAAGCTGTGACTTTTCCACATGACAGTAATGAAAGCTATTGTAATATAAGTCAGATTACCACTTAGGCTCTGAATCGGGATCAGATACTTCCCTTCCAAACAGTTCAACAACAAATAATTACTCATTTGAGCAGGAAAACTACTTCATTAAATCTAAAACGAAATAAACGTTTTTAGCAACGACAAATTGTATATAAGTAGCTACAGGGCATATAACACAATCATTATTTTTTGGTAGTTGAACAGAATCCTTGGAAGGAAAACTTAATCAGTGTCAGGTGAAGCAACTTGGTCCTGTATAGCAATGGGAAATTACAAACATCAAAACAACAACTGACACTCGTCGCACAAGAGTTGGTTATTGTGCTCCACTGGCCTAGTTCATAAAGCTTTGATGTTTGAGGTGTTGAGCGCTGAGTTCGAGTTTCAGTGGGAACAACATCAATTACTGAAGTACATGTCCATCCAGCTGACAAGCCCTAAGTAGGACGAAACGCGTGTCCTAGATTTCACTGCTAGTCATCAACATGAATAGTAACCAGTGTCTGTTTAGAATATGTTTATTTGCACTGTTAGGTAATAATTCTGTGAAATCGGTTACAGTTTTTAGTCTAGTTCTATAGAATAACTTTCAAAACTCAGTTGATAATGAGAGATCATCGTAGTAACTATATATTTTATCTAGCTATCATCTCTTCAGCACCCTGTTACGAATATGGGTAACGGCGTTAACGCTAGAACAGTTTTAAATGTATGAAAACGTAAGCATTTGGAAAGTTCGAAAAACATTTTCTCTTATACAAAATTCACTATGATAATCTCCAACAATGGTATCAACATTAATATAAGAGCAGAACTTGTGCACTGTGGTAGAATGTAATTCCATTTTCATTGATTTATTAGGTTTATCACACATTGTGACAATATTGTTTACTGGATTACGTTTCGAACATAATTTATTGTCCATAGTCATATCGAGATGGTATCAACAGCCGTGATTCTTCTTTTGCAACATACCTCACCTTTACATTCCACTTAAATACAACCACCTGATTTTTGATCTCAGTCTGTTTTCATTTTTGACATAAATTAGCGTGAAAATGAGTTGCATGATCAAACTGTTTGAAGTGTATTGCTCAATAATGTTGCATTCTCAAGACAAACTTCTTCATCTGAATACACTGTCCAAAGTTATTAAAGAGACTAACTGTTTAGTAATCAACCATCAATAAACACTGATATTCGCAATTGGTGGGCACTCATACAGACTTAATGAACATTTAGTACATCTGATGTTCAAGAAACCTACATATTTTGAGTGGTAAGTGGTAGGGAAATAAATACCTAATATAGTAGATAGGATTCGCGTATAAAGTTGTTTTCAAGTTTGAGGTTCCCCGCAATCATCTCCATTAAAACAAACGTAACCCGCTACAATATTTTAGGGGATTATACAGCCTTTCATTAATGTATCCATAATATTATGAACAAAGTAAAAGACTAATATTTTACAGAATATTCATAATTATTTTGTGGATTGTTTTATGAAACTAAATAGTTAGATAAAACAGTTTATGTTTTCAGAAATCTTTAAATTTCACTATTGGAAGTATTTTCATAAGTCATAGGTCTGAACATCCATTACACACTGACTGATGATGTATTTTTGTGACCTTGGTGTAATAATTGGGTATGGGTACCAGATTTACCTGTCGTAATCTGGTGTTTGCAATTGTTGTTTCTTCAAATCCTAACTCACCAAAAAGGCTGGTAAGGATATGAAGAGTTACCTTGATTGTGCACGTACATTAAGGCCTTAGCCACAAACTACTATGTTACTACTGTGTCTTATTTATGAAAAGATCACATCGACTAGCTATCCGCACTTCTGCTTAAAATATAAGTTTAATACAAAATTAGTTTTGTTTACCTATAAGAATCTAAATAAATGACTTTACAAGAGAAAGATGTTAGTGAACAAGTTTATTGTCACAGATTTTCACCATTAAACCTAGTTAATTCTTTTTTGTTTTTCCAGCATATCATTACTGCAGTTTTCTCCTCAATGTGACACTAAGATTAGATTTAATGGTATTTGCTTCAATACTTCATTTCAGCAAACAGTTTTCTTTATATTTCCACTTATATTATGTGAAAATTGTAAGAATTTAACTGCACAAAAACACAATATCACCCATGTGAAGACAGTAAGTGCTATAGGAGTTACACTTTATTATGTATCACATGAATACTACATACATAAAATAGATATACTTGATTCGATGAAAATTTTCGAGTGATTACTCAAACACTTATTAACACTGTCTAACCATTCATCTCTTATAATTGACTGTAAAAAAATCCCTTATATAGTTGTGTAAGGACAAGTACTAAGTTGGTTATTATCAAGCTTTGCATCAGTGGTTATGAGATAAAAATTCCATTAGTATATATGCTTCAGTAAAGATTCAGAGTCTTTGCACGAGTACACTTCTTACATTTTCATGGATTTTGACAGCACAGAGCTGAGGCTCCGTTAAATACTCGCAACTGTATAGCTCAATGCTGAAGCTGAAAAACTTAAAACTGAGATATTTGGGCTTATAAATGATCTTTGTTTGAGTGCCTGAAGTAGCGTCACTTTCATTCAAGGTTGAAAACTAGTTTTCTTAGTCAGTACTAACAAACATGGAATATAATAAAGGAGTTACATGCCAAATGCACCCAATCATTCCACATAAAATATAGTCCTACTGCTAAAGAACAACTTATCCTAATGGTCTTGCTATAAATCTGCTTCATCAGGGGTTTAAAATCATAACATTCGTTAATATGCATTCACTAATCAGCTAATTTTTGTTTACTTGATTTTAAAATGTTACGGTTGAATATTTTAAAGTCTAAAATGAACTGTCATACTAACGGTTCCGTTTTCACTACCCATTCTGCTAATAAATTCAAGAGTTAAAGTCATACAGAACAATTCAGAAAAGACATTCCAGTGCTCTAGTGAATCAATATCAGACGTATAATCATAAAGCGTACTTCTGCTTCTGCGCTCAGTAACTTTACCAGACAAGATAAATAAAAAGTAGTTAGTCATTGTATTCCGTTTCAGTGAAAAGCCGAACTAAGGCCACTTGAGTCTGTGCATTTCATCCAAGTAATTCGTTTTATCAATATAAAAGTAAACTTCTGTGACTCTGATAGAGTATAGTTCCATTATATTTCTGTTTTATATGTATCACATAGTGAGCGTTAATCTTTGATGACGTTTTAAGCAGAATTTATTGTTCATAATTATATCAAGATGATATAATTTCGTAATAGGAAAACGTCATTAATAAGATTAACTTTTGAAAGTCTTATAGTTTATCTTAGCTTTTTGTACACTTTTAATATGTTGCTATGATTCAAACAGTGGAATGGTTGTTGATGATCAATTTCTAGTCAATACAGGACAAAGAGCTGTTTTGAGAGCTTCTTTGGGAATTTTTTGTTATATGTATGGACGAAGATTATTACCGCAGCTGTCACTCAACAATACACGTTTGCTCACGTGAACACTTTGCGAGAGTTATCCAAAAAATACTCAATACAAAAGACTATTATGATGCAGGAGGTATAAGCAGAGTTGCCTTGATTCCCGATACATAGCTATCCTAAAACCATAAGAAATATTGTGAAATTTTTTCAACAACTCCCTCAAAATTCAATATTCTCCTTACTTGTAAACGATTTCTTGAACCTACAGTGAAAAAAATGCATACTAAAAGAAGAAAACCTGTGTTCAATCACAATGACATTTGTGACGTTTTTCCCCATGCTTATCAAGCACTAGGAATTTACTGAGCAGTGATTTAAAATTTCTACTATTATTGTAACTTTAATATTTTTGGGTAATAAAAATGATAAGTTTGGAAATAACCCAAAGCTCCTAACGCAGTAATCTTTTGAAGTGTAAAAGTGACAGGATAAAGACACTTACTGTTTACTTATTATACTACGTGGAATAGTCTTGCAAAAAGTGAATTTATGAGTTACACATAACTGAAACGATCACTCAATGATCGACTCTGTGATTTTCATTAACAAAAGTCACTTTGTGTAGCACCAATAAACTGGTAGTTAATAAACGAATGACTGAAGACAAATACTCACAAATTAACTCCAAAATAGTTTAAGAATAGTTGCACTAATTTCTGCTGAGTAGCATTTTTTTCTGTAGCACTTTTTAAGTTTATCATAGTTAGTTTCTAAGTTGATCATTGAATAACATCATTTGGAGAACCATTGAAAACCTCGAAACACTGGACATCTATTTTTCCCTACTAAGAGACTTCTCAGCAGTGCAAACCTTTGACAATGGCATGGATCTAATCCAGGACCTACAAGTTCCGTGAACAGCACGTTGCCAGTGAGCTGCTGGGTCGGAATCTACTTTCCTCAGTTTGCAATATACAGTGACCTTCACCTAATACCGTCCTTGAGTGACTTTCCTCATGTTTGACTCAATTTGCCCCACCTGTCACAACTTCTAATTAGAACTTCGAGAATCTCATGTCAAACTTAGTCACCCATGAAGGCCAAACAGTAACTATATGAATTTGTAGGGATTGATTATATTTCAGGTTTATATTTATCAATGGTAACATGCAGGCCACGAAAGCTGAACATCCTGGTTTCGACCACTCGTGAGTTCACGGATGCGCACTGCTGAGGAGTTCAGTACTAAGATGAAAGGCTCTCCAATGGTCCCAGATTTTTACTGGCTGTTCAAGGAATGTCCGAGATGAATGCAAACTTGAAATCAATAAATAAATCCCCACAAACCTCCAGACTGAATTATAATAAGTTTCTTATCGATGTTTGCATTTGCAGTCAGATATGATTAGGTGACGTAATACTTCTGGATATATGTAAAGTTTATAGTGTCGTGATAAGGTATATGCTGTCGAAAAGACTTTATTCACATGAGGTCGAGTATCTGAGTTAATGAAATCACTGTATTCAACAATTCATGGCACATGAAGCCAAACTAAATAACAAAACTAAAAGAACACTAAATAACTATCACCGCAAATCCAAGATATAAGTTTTAACTACTACTACAAGCCCGATTTCTTGTTTTCTCGCTACATAAGGTAACTTTTTTTTCAGTAGTTTACCTTACATAAGATTCGAATATTACACCAAAATATTTATCAATGATAACTTAGCTAGAATACACCATTATGAATACCGAAAAGTAGTGTAGTACAAATTACCTTTTTTAGTTCAATGGTTGAAGCATAAACTGTGTTTCTCTGTCGATCACTTTCCTCAGATGAATTAGAATTCTAAATCATTAAAAAAAAAGACCAAATAAAATATATAAGAAAAGGGAAATAAAACAGTAGGTAAAATAGAATTTCACGCAGTTGGTTACCTTTTATAAACAAGTGCAACATGACAATACGACTTCCTAATTATTTTTACTTACGTAAGTACTATCTTCTGTTAATTCAGCACTCAAATAAGACAGCTACAATGTTGCGCAGACAATTCTGAGCAGCTATACACCATTCCTAAAACGTCAGTAAGTAGAATTGACACGTTTATCTTATGTGGTGTTACTGTCAAGTTTCTAGTAATAATAATCGCTTTATTCTCAACAATATATATGGCAGTATGGAATTCTTAGCGTGTAATTTTTTAACAGACTCACTCCCAGAACAATACTTTCAGATGAAGTGGTTACTGCATCTGCATGATGTTAATAATAACAGGAATGAAGGCAATAATATGGAATAGACAGCTGGTTCTGGATGGGCGTCCGGTGCATAATGAAGAATCAACAGAAAAATACAAGCGTAATTTTGGTGGTGACGATTCATTCAGACGGTACAAAAATCTGCAACTCAAACTAAGCACCTGACGAATAGAAATATAATGTACTTCGATGCACCGAAAAGTTTATTTCCATATAACATAACTTGTTTTCTTGCTTTCTTATTGACTCGGGAAACGGAGAGTTGGAAACAGTTTAAAAATGTGCAAGAGTTTCGCACGTTTAAAACCGAAGATAAATTTACCGCACATAACTGCAAGACCACACACAGCGAATCGTTCCATTTACTGAAAATCTTTGAAATTCAGTATTGAGTAAAAAATGTGACAGAATTTTCAAACACCATTCTGCATAATACACTGCAAATCTCCGATTCAGTAAATTTTTGAGTTTTTAACACTAAGTTAGCGAAAAGTAACCGATGGGATTTCCGCATAGCAGTATATTCCATATAAACTTTTTAAGTGCCCAACATCTTGTACTCAATGTACTTTTTGTTCATTATGTGACTTAACTAACTAGCATTTCGAGCTAATCCCTATTGAAAGACCACTGTTCACAATGAGTGATAATGCCCATACTACCCTTAACTTATAGTGTGCAACGAAATGGTTCTTACCTCAAGTTTGAGACCAATACTACTGATGTAGTGGGCGTTACTGATAAGAATGAATATAAGTAGTACATGTTGAGACGGTGGCAGAAATCATATAGAATTACCATCAATGGGTGAGGATTCTGCCAAGAAGAACGCAGGAGACAAAGCAGGCGTATGAAGAGCAAATCAAGAAAGAAGCAGAAGAGGAAATGGAGCACACTTTGCAAATGACGGTTTTAGTGCAAGGTATACCATATTTAACGACTACTGTCCCACCAGTTGACAGAAGGCATTCCTTCCTTCGTACCTGTCTTCTTGTTTCTTTCACTGAAACAATCCCATACCTGGGTAGACTATATGTGGCGTGACGACGTCCTCGACGCTTTTCCAGCTCCCCTAAGAAGAACAACATTGAGACTTTGCCTGTAAAAATGGAGTGTATCGTATAATTCGTTTATCATTATTATTATTATTATTATTATTATTATTATTATTATTATTACCGTCATTCTATTAATGTAAGTCAATATGATAATGCTACCTTATTGATGTCATTTTGTGCGATATATACGAAAAAAGTTGTGACGAATCTGCCACATTTAAATAGACGACACACTTTTTAAGTTGAACAACAGAAAAGTGTTGCAAATTTATCAAGAATGTTGACTGCACGGTTTGATGTTTTATTGAAAACCAAAATTAGTAGAGCAGTAGTTCGCAACAACAAAATAAATTATTTTTGAGATGAGTGGGGATTTTTAATTTAGAAGTAGTATTCATCATGGACTGACATCAGTTGGGGAACCACTGAAAATCTGGGAGCACTGGACAGCTGTTTCATCCTAGTATGGGACTCCTTAGCCGTGACATGTGGGGTCAACCAGTCGGAAGTGAAGTGGATGCTAACTGAAGACCTTCGATGACAGTCACACTATGTCGTGAATTGACAGAAGTTGGAAATTGTGAACCACTGGAAACCGACTCAGTGGCTAAATGGTTAACACGTTCGCCGTGAAACCTGAGGTCCTGAGTTCGATCCCTAGCCGGGTCTTGGGTGCGTACTGCTGAGGAGTAACATACTAGGACGAAACAGCTGTTTAGTGCTCCCGGATTTTCAGTGGTTCCCCAACTGATGTCAGTCTATGATGAGTACTACTTCCAAATCATTATTTCATTCACTAATATGAATGTGAAAGATTTTAAGATGCGGTCCGCTTATTTGATATAGAACATAATTATACAATGATGGTGCTAAAAAAAATCAGTTTTTGAAAATTCTTTTATTGCCTCCTTATTATTATGGATGATAAACAGTGTCAGAACAGTCATTCAGTCTACTGCCATTAAATGCTATTTCAAATGAATAAGGCAGAAGTTTAATATGGAATCTCAGTCTAATATAGTGCCCAAGTCCTACCCCTAGAAATGTCCGAAACATTTCTTGAGCCTTAGCACTCCGTTCAGTCGGTGATCGATAGATATGTCTCATAGCAACTGTAGGCAGGATTGAATCACAATCGTTACCAGAAAATAACTCATCAGTATCAAGCGATTTCAACAAATAAAACTCATTTTGATAGTTGACATTTTCAAGGTCACTTCCAACAAATGATGACACTTTGTATAATGACTATTTTTATAAACCTTGTCCAGAAGACTGTAGGCGATAAATTCTAGTTATAGTGCCCAACAGAAACTCATTGTCATACTTTATTTAACAAAATCAAGCAAATCTGAAATGTATTTTAGGCAAAACTCTTTACCGGTCAAGAGACTAATAAAAATGAGCAAATACTAAATATCTCATATGGATTATCTCAAGACTCTGTAATCCTTCTACAGGTTAAATGGAGGATATGCAACAGTCGATAAAGCTATCTCACTAAGGCTGAAATCTAATGTATATCACCTTTAGTCCCATCAGAAACACCCTACTTATATAAAATTCCCAGTCTTTCGAGTCACTACTGCCTTTGTACTATTTGCACATCGATCGCGTGAAAGATTGATCACCTGACAGTAGAGCATATTTAAACAAACAAAATAGAGGCTGTTATAACAATAAAAATATCCATTTCATTTCAGTTGATACAATTTACTGTCATTTTTATGTTAAACGGAAAACATCAGGAATAATATCTTTACTAATTCAGTGTAATCGATAACACTTCACAGCCTCTTCATAGTTAGCAATAGTAATTTTGATGTAAATGAAGTACTGAACACATACAATGTAACTTGAGTAAATATTTTCTGTCAAAACGTATGCACATTTACAAGTCGTATTTTGATTAATGTGAGTGGGCAGCTGATACACAACTCAAGTCATGCAAAATAATGACAATGCTAAAAATTCAGATTACATTTTTGGACTTATAATTCATGTTTTGTTTTCCTAACTTCATTTTACTGTCAATTACTTCTTAATTGAATCTATTTAACTAATAAAAAAATAATGATAAAGGAGACTTAGGAATTTTTATTGTAAACTTGATTAGCATTAATGTTTAGATCAAAAAAAGAAATACACTCAAAATGTGAATAATTATAAGGCGGTATACCTACAGTTAGCTGTTTGCAACTAAACTATTAGGCCGCTAATAGTGCATACTGGTAAAGTAAGCAGCTAAAATTGAAGTGAAGGAGAGAAGACATTTTGAATAAATGTTTATTCAACACTTAATTATAATCACGATTACTATTAGTTCTTGAAACGGTTGCATAAACTAAGATAATGCCTACACATTATTATTCATAATCCAGCACAAAGAACAAGATCCGGATTTTTAACACCAATATCAAGTCAGTTCTTCTAAGATGGTTCAGAAACTTCATGCGTCACGAAAAGCACTTCCAATAAACTACACACATTCATCAACAACTGCCTATGCTGGCTGGTTACTGAAGCTCAGATGGCCAGAATAATAAGAATAAGCAACAAGCAACTCTGGCCTGGTAACCAATCAACCAGGGACCTGTCACTGAACAAATATGCATAAGGAAGTGGAAATGGATTGAATTGGGAATACACTGAGAAGACCGACTAGGGACATCACGCGCCAGGCCAGGCCAGGCCGGGCCATCGAGTGGAATCCGAAGGGGAAATGGCTAGTTGGGCATCCCAGCTGAGGGTGATATGGAGGAGATGATGTGAGGAAGAAATGAAAGCTTGTGGGCAGTCGTGGAGCCAGTTTCGAAGGATTGCAGAGAAGAGAGTGGAATGGAGGTGTGCTACTGAAGCCCTATGTTCCACTAGGAACCCAAGGGACAAATAATAGTAATGTAATAGCAATATCTTTTTTCCACATAGGAAGATGTAATCCATTGTATGATGTGTAATACATGAAATTTATAATCATTCTAAAAAATGAATATGGAATTTTCCGTGATACTGTTCCAAGTGGCATATAGAGCTAAAAATAAAGTTACTCCTGACAACTGAGTTAAGACCAGAAGCAACTATTTATTTCCCATATTAAAACAGATTTCCAAACTTATGACAAAAAAAAAGTTTACCTCGAAACTGATATATGTTTTACATTGATTTCTTAAAAATCTACAGTTGTTCACATCTTTCTGTTCCTAAACTGTATAAAGCAGTTCTAATAATGATGAGTGGATGCAAAGAAGAGTTAAGTTAATTTTACTAATGTGAAATTTTAATGTTGAGCTTGCCGATTACAGGTGAAACGTTATTGTCAGTTATTATAGTTGCTATAAGCATTTCATAAAAATGAGTAGTTAAAATTTATGAGTTACCTATCTGACTAACCAAAAGCTGTCACATGATTAATATAAGAGTAACATAGAAAAGAAATATTCAAGTTTATACATTGAAAAAGAATTCCAGTTTTGTAAAAATGAAATGTACTTGAAAGGAATTCATGAATTCTTTAGCAGTTGTACGCTGT